TCCCAAGCTGAAAACAAGAAATCAAGCTGATATCCTGGCAAATGAGAGTAAGCCCAGATGGAATACAAATGTTTTCTTTTACAAGTCGCCAAACAAGGAGTTGGTGGTGCGACTTCTTGAAAACTTGAAGCGCAAGTTTACCCATGAGGGATTTAGAGAGGCAGACTTGAGAGCAAGACTGCACAAAAACTTCACCAGCCGGGTTTCAAAAGCAAGAAAAACCGAAGAGGAAATAAAAGCAACAAACACTCGTTCGAGAAGGGCAGGACGTGCCAGAGATGTAAGTTTAATCTCTAAATAAATAATTTCAAAATAATATAGTTTAGTCTTGAGAATTTTAAAAATACTAATACAAAAAAACTACTATTAGAATCATACTCGCCGTTTACTTGCATACACAGACAACAAAGAAGCAATTGATCTACAAATGAAGAGAGATTGTGACTTCACGATGCAAATGGCAGCAATGTCCGATGGAGAATCTGCAGATGAAGACTTCGAGAATCGCACGAAGAGCATCGTCAAGATTGTTCGGCCAGGATGGAGAAGTGACGAGGTATATTATTTTATATTAATAATTATGTCTTATTATAAAAAATATAAAGTGAAGTATTAACAAAATCATTTTAGTTCAATACTCTCATTAAACTCGTTGATGAGTATGTTATTGAAGCAATGGGGTCAAGTGCTTCTCAAATGAAGGAGAGGGTTTTCACCAGTGTGTCCAATACAGCAGTCCCAGATGACATAACCCCCAAATTTCCTCAGTGGGCCCTTAGAGACGGGTATTAAATAAACAAAAATTGCCTCTCTCTTTTTATCTATATATTACTTTTCACATACAAAATACTATCAATATATATATCAGAAATACGCGCTCTGTTTTTTTTTGTTAAAGAAAAAGAAATGTAAAAGTTCACTTTATTTATTATTTAAGCATATAGCTTCTTTGGCAATGGAATTACCAGCATTTTGCTAACATTTCTACTTGTCGCAATAGTAGCTGTAGCAACCTCTAATAAGATGCGATGTACAGGTATAATGCTATGGTAGCTATCAGGAGAGAACGTGGGCAAACAAAATTCAACACCGTCATCCTCACGCGACCTATCAGAGGAAGTACGAAACCACTTGATAAATGCGAATACATGTTGATGATCATGAACCATGCGAGTCAGATGGAGATTGTGCGTGGGTGGAAGTTGGAAGGAGTGTGTAAAAAGATACTGAATTTGTCCAGCAAATCCAAGTATAATGTTTCCATTACTACCAACAAACTTTGCCTGAACAAGTGATCCGCGACTGATTGTGCTGTTGTTTGTTCCTCGATAGTGTTGACCAAGAATGTCAATTGACTTCAATTTGATGATTTGATTGTCAAGTGCTGGGCGATTATAGGACGTGTCCTGATAGCTGGCAAGGTCTGGGAGGTTGTAAGCGACTTGGTAATATTCAAGTAAATGGAGATAGTCGGAATCATCCATTACTGATGGCTTTTTGTATTTTAGAGGAAATGTAGAAGGAGGAAGAGGCTCGTTACCCTTGGGTGGATTATAAGGATCAGTGTAGCCTTGAACGAATGCTTGCAATCGGAATGGGCGACTGGAGAGAGTGGTGACTGTGGCGGCAGGTATGGAGGTTGTAACAAGTTTAGACAGAGTGTGAATGAAGGGGATCTGGCTAGAACTTTTAAGAACAGCATTGACATAATCACCCTTATACGCATTCTGAACAAAATTTTTCATGTAGGTCGCCTCAAAACCGTCTTTGCCATTTGTCTTGAAATTCTTTAAAATACCATTGTATCGCTCAAACCCAAAGAGCCAATAACCATACACTGGTCCAAAATCACGAATGCATTCATGAAGATGGAGGTGTAGGTGCATATTGCAGGTGAGAATAGTGGCGGTATAGTCTACGTTACATGCATTGCAAAACTTTTCTAACAGGCTGTGGGCAGTGGTGATCTCATCAAAAGTAATGCTGGGCTTTACGTAGTATCGGCATGCATCAACGAAATACATCCAGTTCTTGAATTGTAATGGAGGGAGAATACCATGCAACAAGACAGGAGAATAAACCAGAACCCATGATTTCCACTCGTCCGCTTTCATGTAGCTGAAGCCCTTTCCAATTTTGGTTGTCAGTGTGGTGTAATCTCTGGGCAGTACAGTGGTCCCTCGATAATTTCAAGGCCTAGGGAAGGCCAGGTGTCTTGAAATTATCGAAGAGTGAAATTAACGAGTTCGGATTATATATTTTCCGCCAACTATGGGCGGAGTTTACATTATTCTTTAATAGAAAAAAAATATATCAAGTAATGATTTGATATGCTTCAATCCTCTGTTTAAATTCATTCTAGTTAAATATAACCCCTGGCTGCATTACTGTTTTCTACCCCCCTGTCTCGTAACCAATTATTGTTTCAAATTCTTATTCAATCAAATAATAACAGCTTTTTGGTATGCTTTTAGCTTATTATATAATGCTTATCTAATATCATTTTCAATTTTTTTTGATACTTTAATGAAATCTATCAAATCCAGAACTAAACAATAAAAATGAGCAAAAAAAACGTTTCACTTAATATTGCAAATCACCTTGAGATTTGTGATATTAAAAAGAAAAAGCCATCTATGAGTAACCCCCAATTGGCTGAATGGGCAAAGGAAACCTTTGGCCTTCAAAAAGCTCCTGATGCTTCTACAATCTCGAAGATTTTGAAGAGAGGAGACCAGGGCTTGATAATGCAAGCCGACGTAAAAAACAGAAAGCGCGTTAGAAAGGGAAAATGGCCTGTATGTAATATATCTCAACATTATGCATTTTTGCTCCATATAAAAAATAAAATTAACCTTATTATATTGTCACACAACTATAGCAAATTGAAGAAGCAGTGATTCTTTGGATCAACATTGCTGAAAATAATCAGATTCCCATCACTTGGGAATTGATTAAGACTAAAGCTACTATTTTTGCTGAAAGAATAGGCGTTAAAGATTTTAATGCTTCTCAAGGCTGGATGGAGAAGTTTGGAAAGCGTCATTGCATTAAAATGAATCGAATTCATGGTGAGGCTGGTTCTACTGATATAGAATCGCTTCAGATTGACAAGGCTGCCATCAAAGAGAAGATAGAGGGATATAGTGCTCGTGACATATATAACTTTGATGAAACAGCACTCTTTTATGCTGCCCCACCAAGAACAACAATTTCTCACCAGAAATTTTCTGGTTGGAAAGATAACAAGAAGCGTCTGACTGTAGGTCTCTTGTGTAATGCGGACGGAACGGACAAGTGGTCCGATGTACTGATGATTGGGCATGCAAGAAGACCAAACTGCTTCAACAAGAACAACAAGAAGCAAGAAGCAAGTGATCATGGATTCTCCATGTATCATTACAATAGCAATGCTTGGATGACAAGATCGATCTTTCATGTTTTCCTCCGTCGCTTTGATCATGCCATGAAAGCTCAAAAGCGCAAAGTTCTTTTGATTCTCGACAATTTCTCTGGTCATATAGTTGATTATACACCTACAAACGTCGAGCTTCTTTTTTTGCCACCAAACACCACTTCCCACCTTCAGCCATTGGATGGTGGTATCATTCGGGCTTTTAAGGCTTATTTCAAGCGTAAACAGTATGCCAAGGCATATCAGTATATTGGCATGATTCAAAATGGCAATCAAGATAAAATCGGGCCAATTGATAAAATCTTTGAAATTGATCAATTGTGGGCCATGAAATGGATAAGAGAGGCTTGGGAATCTGTCTCGGCAAAGACTATTGAGAACTGCTGGAATGCAACAATCTTTCGCTTTATTGAAGACGAAGATAGTGAAGGTAGTAGTAAAATAATTTATTGGTCATAATAGTAGTATAATCTTTCAATTCCACTTTCTTAATATTCTAAATATAATTTATAGATGTAAACCAGGCTATGATTCAGCAAAGTCTGGCTGAAAAGGTTCTCGTTGAGGGTTTACAAGAAACCCTGGACAAGATTGCTGGATCAGGTCTTCTGTCTCTGGAAGATTGTCCGACCAGCGAATCAGATCCACTCTATGAGAGACAATGCACTCATAGAGTGATCAATGAGAATGAGATCGCTGACATTGTCATGAAAGAGTATGACGCAGACGACAATGCAGCCAACAACAACAGCAATGAAGAAATTGCTGAAGTGGAATCAGCAGTTCCTTTCAAGAGAACTTATTCTGCTTCGGAAAAGTTTGAGTGTGTTTGCACGCTTTTGGATATCTTGGAAGACGAGGATATTGACAGAGACTTCGTCAGTAAGGTTGAAGGCCTTAGAAACAAGTTCCAGAAAACCGCGAACTCAAAGCAAACTAAAGTAACCAGCTTCTTTAAGTCTTTTTAAAATTTATTCTTTTTCAAATAAAATAAAAACAATTTTCTATAAGAAATATATTTTTCTTCATTTAAAAATAGAAAAAAAAAGTTAGCAGCCAAGTACAGTCAAAGCTTGATTTTGTAATATGTTTGTAAATAGTAACAATTGCAAATAACAATAAATAGTAATGACAGATAGAAATAATTAAATCTACAATAAAAACTTTTATAACAAACAAATTAGAATTATATTTATATTTTTCAAGTGAATAATCTTTACTAAACAATTAATAAATGAAACTTAATCAAAATATAGCACATATAGTTTTATTTTATTTCTAAAAAAAAAAATGAAAAAAAAAATTTAAAAAAAGTAAGCTAGATGACAACTTGATAACCCAGTGTTTGGCATGAAAACTTAACGCACTTGACATTGATGTCAATTACAAAATCGTGAAAAGCTAGAATTAAAAAAATTTAAACCAAGCTATAACTATATTGCTCTCGTCTGATTGGCTAATTTTTTTTTCTTTAAGGATTCAAGGCCAAAAAATTTCGTGAAAGTGAAATTAACGAGAATCGTGAAAGTTAAGCCCTATTTTTCGAGTTGGGTCTTCAGAGCCTTGAAATTATCGAAGCGTGAAATTAAAGGGGCGTGAAATTATCGAGGGACCACTGTACCATTGTCTCTGCAATTTTCTCCATCGAAGCAAACTCTTCAGGTCCAATTGTCTTCTCATCAATCCACCGATCCATTAATCTCTTAGACGTCCCCAGGAAAAGATTATGCATGGGATCAATGATCGTTCCACGTACTAGATCAAAGTATCCAAGGCGTTGCAACTGTGACCATCGAACACCATTTTCGACCTCCAGCTGATGCCTTTCTGAGAGTGTACTTGCATCCTTCCACTCCTCAGCATGCAACCTGCTCTCTGCACCACTGCGGATATTCCAACGAGAATAATTGAATCCACGGAAATCAACCTGGTTGCTGCTCCCTAACCGAGTAAACTGCCAGCTGCACCTGTAACAAGCACATGTGCTGTTATGCGCTGTGAATCCACTTGTCTTTCTGGCGGCTGGGATATCACATGCAACCATCAGTAGTGCAGCACGAACACTGACACCATTTGGGAATTCGTGTGTAGGAATCCACATGCCAACGTACAGCTGCTTCAAATCATCCACCAAGGGCTCCAAGTAACTATTGATCTCGTCGGTTTTTGGCTCCTTTGGACCAGGCATGAGACCTACAAGGATAATATTCTCTGGCTTGAATCTTTCATCACGGGGCAAGTTGTTGATGGCCAGATAGATAGCACCAGAGGAGTGAGTGACACCATCAAAGGGCTGGAACCAGTCGATGTTAAGTGTTAACATTAGTGAGCGTGGGTCCAACACAAATGATACACCATCCTTGTCCTTCAACTCCTTCCACATCGCACCATCATAGACATCGCACAGAGTATCTACCATCTTCAACTCCTTATTCCATTGACGAATCTTGGCTTCGAAACTAGGGCGACGGAAGAAAACGCTCAATGTATTTTTAATGGATTGGTAGACATATTCACGCTTTGCAACCAAGGCACCAGAAGATATGGATTTCGTCAAATTACAGTTGCATGCAGACCTGGCACCAAGTTTTGAGGAAACACATCGAGGAGGAGCAGATACGATATCCTGATATACTGTATGACAGTCTTGGCATACCACAAATTTCTTGATGCCTTTTGTAATAGCAGAAAATCCTGTCATTTTTTGTAAACCGGCAAGACTGGTTGGTAATTGAAAATCTTGGTCGTAGATTCTCAGCAGGTTGTTGATAAACTCAATCAAGACAGCAGCACCCTTATCAACAACATGACGTGAAGCAAACAGTACCGTAAAGATGGCTATGAATTGATGGACTTCATTTTTGGGCATATCAGGAGCAGCAAAAGGGTCTGTAAAAAATTAAAAAAAAATTAACACTTGATTTTTCTTTTACTCTCTTTTTCTTTTAGTTTTCTTTATGTATCTCACACTGACCTTCACTGTTGAAGTCCTCGATCTCGATCTCATTGACTTCATCTTCAACATTGTCATCGAAATCATTGTCGTCTCTGTCATTGTCAAACATTGAGGCGGCATCCAAAAAAGGTGAGTTGGCCTGACCGTCCATTGCTTCCACAGAATCGGAACGAGAGGTCGGGATCACTACAAATATGGAATATAATAGTTTATTAGTTTTTTTTTCTGCTTTCAAATAAAAAAATTCTTACCCTCAGTATCTACATCCATGTTTCTCATTGCGGCTGTGTTTCATTAAAAGTTTAAAAATAAACAACATAAATAAAAAATAAAAAATAAAAAATTAAAACGATTATTACGCAGCAAACAAAAAACCAACACTAAATATATTATACTATTCTCAAATATTCTGGTACCTTCAACTCTAGCTCTCTTATTACGACGAGTCTCAGTACGCTTTGCAGCATAAGAAGATTTCTGATGACTGTTGTGACATTTAATGCAGTGACAGTCTAAGGTGTGGATTTGGGTAGAGGGAAACATATTGTGTATAGCTTGAATTATAAAATAAAAAAGGAAACAAGTACTACAAATACTTTATTTGATGTGATTTTATAGCAAGCCAAAAAAATATGAATTTTTTATTGTCTATCTAAACCAATAGAATACGTCGAAAATACACCCCCAACTTAAATAAAAAAAACGGCTGAGCTGAAAAAAAACCCTGACATTTCCACTACCTTTCTCGTTACTTAAAGCTATAGTATTTTTTTTATTTTTCCAGTGATTGCTGTCAACCTGATATAAAAATACAACTTCAATACTTTGTTGCAAGTAAAATATGACATATTATTCACTTACATCTGGACAAGCAGGGCAACAGTTGGATTCCCAAAATCCAGGCAAATGCTTCTCTACCTTGGCCTCAACAATTATCGTAAGCCTGATGAAGACATGCAGAAGATTTTGGCAATATGCATTTGAGATCTGTCTCTATTTATTTTATTTTAACACAATATTTAAAATCGATTAGTAACACATACTGATGTATAATTTTTTTTCTTACCTCAGCACCCAGATTGATCTTATTGTACAGATCGGCCAAGCCCTGGCCAGAGGTGGTAAGAACATCTCGCATGTCTCTCATAAACTCAAGAAGTCCGAAATGAATTGCATATTGGACATTGTTGAGGGAAGCAGGGAGCATACCCATCTCAACCAACTGCTCAGGAATGGACTTGCATCCGCAAAAAACAATCTCAAATGTTTCTGAGACTGTGTACACATATAGGATGTTAATATATTAATCTAAGGGCAGTTTTTCTTTTAAAAATTAATAACGATTGCTTACAATGCAAAAAAAACATGTAGATGTTTTTCTTAGAGAACGTTGTGCAAGAACAAAGGAAATGAGACAAAGGAGCAATAACCTTCTTATCCAGACAGCCATCCTTGCATCTTCCAAGGTAAGGCAGGAAGGAATCAGCTAACTAGGGAAGCAAATCTACCCACTTGTTGTAGAGGCTTCTTTTCTGGGTCTGACTAGCTTCATATGTATTGAAATCAATTTTGACATCCAAGTCAGTCTGAGAAGCAGCAATGTTCTCAGAAGGCGTTTCTATGGGGGATACAGCCATGGTTCTTGCTCTCTTCTTGCACGTATATGTATACTTTAGGCGAGGACTACTAAATTCCGCCTCAGGAACAGATGGGTTTTCAGTGGGAATATAATTTAAACCACTTATTGGAACATCTTCAGAAAAGTAATCCAGTAAGAACTGAGGTACAGCTGTTCTCTGTCTTCTTTTGATAGTATGCTTGCTTGGGTTGTACATGTTTAATTTGCTTGTTAAATTCAATAAAAAGATAAAGAGTAAAGAATTATGATACTCTAAATGAGTTCTGGTATTGGTAACTGATTGCGTCACTAAAGTGGGCCGCTTTTTAAAGCTCAAGGGCTGTAGAAAACCATATGGTAGCACGAAATTGACTAATTTAGAAAAACTAGTAGCAAGTGGTAAAATTATCAGCCTTACACAAGATAATACTATGCAGTTAGCAAATGTGACAATTAATTTTGCGTGGGAAATTTATACTTTGATAGGGAAATTGTTATCCAGATTTGTACAGTGTGTAACTAAGTTGCAGAATCAATACCACTGGGGATAGTCAAGTTTATGAATAGTTTTTAGATAAGAATAAAGATGATTTTTATTAAATGTAATTCTTGACTATTTATACAAAACAATTGTTGTTTTCTGGCTAAAAGAATAGCTCAATAATATGTCTTAGATGGTGGTTATCCAGTAATATCTCTACAAGTATATTCCTCATCTCCAACATCTAAAACATAGACAAAAGACCAATCAGCAAAGTCAAGATCTTTTATCCTAAAAAGTCAACCATTACTGGTTGCTTATAACTTCCGATTTTAGTCACTGATGTCAACTCTGACATATACGTGCTTATAGAGAGTACCATTAATTCCTGTCATGAGCATGTTGTTCCTAGAATCTGAATCCTAATCTGGCCAATCCAATTCAATCCTTCTCAGAAATACTACACTTTGCTGGAAGTTTCCAATACCTGGTAACTTCTAGCAAAATTCCTTTAAGATAGGATAAATACAAATTGCTTCATCGAAATAAAACATTATCTTTATTCTTCTGAAAAACTACTCTTGTGATATCTTCCAGCCACTTCAAAGGCAACATTCAATCCCAATATATCATACTTATTTTATTCCCCAATCAGAAAAGAAAGTCACAAATTAAAAGATTCTTTGATTTTGATTTTTTTATAAAGACAATTTTAAAAAAAAATAACAATTAAAAATAAAATAAAAAAAGATAGTAGTTGATAATATATAATTGATAATTGATAATAAAAAATAATAATAAAAAAAATTATGTTTGTCGAGGTGGACAGGATTGAGAGGGGGAGTCATGTTCTTTCAGATTGTTGTATGCAAACTTCAACGTATCTAAGAACTGGCTCATGTCTTCTGGGATTCCCTTGTACTTGACTATCTTGCTGTCAAGTTCAACAGAGTATAATTGATGATACTTCATGATATCAGCTTCTATCTCGTCAGAAAGAAGGGAAGTGTCAACTACTGCTTTAGTATCAGTATTAGATACATGAAAAGCAGAGGAGGAGGAGGAAAGACTTTGGTGCAAAGAGTAGGGAATGTCTAGAATACGATTGATGAGAAAGATATGCTTGCAAAGCTTGGAAGTATCAGGGCAAGTGCAGTTTTGCAGAAAATCATTCTGTAGCTCAATATTGTATAAAATAAGATTAACTGTGAATGATCTGCAAGTGAATGCAGTATTACTTAATTTCTCAACTATTTTCATAGCAGTACTTCTATCTAGCATATACACATTTTGTCTTTTTTGCTCTTCTTGGCGTATAAGGCGTACTGATTAGAATTCATATAATGTCTTGACATTCTCTTGTCTGTAGTCAAGAGTCAACACTTTGGCCAGAAGATAAATAAGTTTATCTGCTTGAAGAAATCTTGCACGTCCAAGATAGAAAGTCTTCAGCTGATTGTAATAAGACTCTATCAAATTATTGGTGTGAAAAGTTGCAGCCTATTGTTTATATTACATATTAAAAATGAGCTAATAATCAATAAAGTTTCATACCAATCTCCATGTTTTGCACCATAATTCTTTTTTCCGCACCCACATTCTGTTAAAGAACAAAATAAAGTTCTCATATTCCCCAAATTTCACAAGAAATTCATTATACAGTGTATTATAGGCAACAGAAGTTGTTGCATGCATCATATTACTCAATACAGCATAAACACTATTACAAGCTATGTTCAAAGCATGTGTTGAGTTTTGCACTTTAATCTATATTATACTGTTATATGAGATATACACAATTTTAAATAAATATGCTACTTACATGCTTCTTTACATTAACTTCCCATGCTCTTTTAATATGCCAATGACATCACAGGATATTAACACTATTGCCAAAGACTTCTTCAATTGCACCGATTTCGATGGGGCTGTAGTCAATTATTATTCTTTTCATCTTTAATGTAAAGGTATTCTTTACCAATGTTAACTATTGACTTAAGGTTGAGGTATATTCATGATCAGTTATAAAGAAGCAGACAGGCAATCCCTTATTGGTGATAGGATTTCGCACACCAATTGTAAACAGAAAGCAATCTTCAGGTCTTTTATCAGCTACAGTATTGAATTACTTGCTTGTTTTGTGTGTTGAGTCAATGCACCACTCTTCCAAATTCTCCAGAAACTAATACAATAATAAGATGTATAAATAGGTGTATAGAATAAAATATAAATAATACATGTTATTTACTTCTTTCTGCCACTCAGAAACCCACAAAACAAGGAAGAGGCCGTTCTTATGAACTGTGAAAAGAGTAGTATTTTCACTTTCGTTCAACTCTTGAACCCACAGTTTGACACTTTTATAATGATCCACATGTTTTCTTGAGAGTTTCATCATTCGAGCATTGATAACATTTCTTACATATTGATAATCAATGAGAAGAGAAGAAGGGAAAGAAGATCTATCACCAGCTTGTTCAAGCTATGTAATTTTAAATAAGCAAGGTCTCTCAAAATATACTATATAATATTTACTTCAAGAAGTCTGTCTTCACTCATTCTAAGCATGTTTTTGATGGATTTCCAATCCATGTTTTGGCTGACAAGCCCTTCTACCCATTGTTTTAATTCATCTGGCAATCTTGACAAACTGATCTCTTCAATCTTAAACGGATTATGGTTTGGGTACTGCCAGTTGTATTTGATACAAACAGTACCATCAGTTATGATATGCTTATAGATACTAGCAGGACAACCAATCTTGATGGACTTGGTTGTTCTGACGCGTTTCTGAGCAGGCTGAGAAGTTTTTTCACTTGTGGTTTTTCAGCATGATCACACAAGTAAACTACTGTCTTTACTTTGAGAGGATTTTCAAGAGGCTTCCCAACGAAGACCATGTTCTTCTCATGACTATAAGATTAATGGTAAACCCAATTGGCATGTTTTTTAGCTATATCATTTAATCAATTTGTAAATTCATTTTCAAATGAAAGGTCAAAGGAGTCGACAGCTTTTATATAATCTGGAATCATGTGATTGTCATAATTAGCAGCAATATTAAAGGTTGCCATTTTGAGATTCGGTAAAAAAAGGTGTGTTTAAAAAAAATATTAAGGGGTAAGCGCGTAATAAAAGTTTGCCCAAATGAAACAAATGAAAATAAATGTGTGACTTGCTTTTCTGATTGGGGAATTACTGTCACTGGCTCATAGATATGTCGGGGAAGATTTTTCAGCCAATAGAACTACTCAAATATAAAGAGCTTATAACTCTGGGCTTATAGCTTTTCTGTCAAGTCTCGATCTGGTATTTCTTTTCTGGCACTTGTAACTAAGTTGCAGAATCAATACCACTGGGGATTGTCAAGTTTTAAGAATAGTTTTTCCAATAAAAATAAAGATGCTTTTTATTAATTATATTTCTTGACTATTTATACAAAATGATGTTTGATTTCTGGCTAAAAGAAGAGCTATAATAATATGTTTTAGATGCTTGTTGTCCAGTAATATCTTCTACAAGTATATTCATCATCTTAAACATCTAAAACATATACAAAAGATCAATCGGCAATGTCAAGATCTTTTATTCTAAAAAGTCAACCATTACTGGTTGCTTGCAATTCCCGATTTTGGACACCGATGTCAACTCTGACATTTCTATGCGCTCATATCAAATATACACACTTGTAGATTCTCCAGCAAATACAATTTGTGGGATTTCAGATTGTTTTTGCATCTAATCCAATCAATTGCTCCAAATATGGTAGATCTATATCTTTTTAGATACTTTAAATTCTATTATAATTGGTTCAACAAACTTAATGTTTTATAGCAAAATATTTTTATTTTTTGACTTTATTAATAGTAAAAATAATAAAATAAAGCTCTTCTTTAATCTTCTCATATCTATAACATTGCCTTTAACAAAGGGTACTAAAAAATAGTAGACTAATGATAAAATAAGTATGTAAAGAAGAAGACTATAATAATTTTAAGTTAAATAAAATATAGTAAAAGTCTAATTTAAATTATAAGATCAAGGTCTTTATAAGCTACTAGATATTGCTTTGGCCAGAAATAAAAAAGGGAGTTTCGTTCAACATTGCAAGAGCTATAGCTATATATCATTCTATTTATAAAATATGTGTATATGTGCTTATCTTGTAAGGCTTTGATAAAAGGTTTTGTGTTATAGGGTCTTGTTATAGATTTCTTGCTTAATATTGTTATCACCCAAAAGCTATAAGTTATTGGTTAGTACTTTGTAAAGCCTCAAAGACTTGTCAACAATAGCAATAGTGAGAAGAAATAAAAAGAAAAAGACTTTACAAAATAAAAAACAATTTTGCATTAAAAAAATATCAGTAGGGATGACTGTTTCTGATATAAGCTCAGATCCAATGTACAAAGTTCATAGGGCTTTTTTGACCCTCTAGTTGATTTTTCTTTAATCAAGCAAGTAGTTCTCTTTATTCAGAAATCAAGATGGTTTCCTGGGTTGACGACAAGACTTTCATTTTTAAAATATTTCTCTAGAGTCAAAATAGAATAGAGATATTCTAAACTTGGTAAGTGCTAGATGGTGTTCAAAAATCTGCCATATCTTTCCAAAATAAGGCAGCTTGTTTCAAATACTCATAGATTTTTTTCTACAGTGTAGGTTTGTCGGATATTATTTTGATGAATTTGTAAAATCTGAAGATAGTTAACCGCAATATAATGGCTATTTCTTTAATTAAATATAAATAATAGCTACTGCAGATAATGCACAGTATTAGTTTAGAGAACTATATAAGACAATTCAATTCATATTATTAAAAAATATCTTTTATCCTCTCTTTGATTTTATGTATACTCCTTGATCCCCAGTAGATTTGACCTTTTGACTTTATTATAGTAAAAGGAAGACCAACCCAGATCGGAAACAACAGATTGGTTTTTTTTTGTTTCTGATCTAGACTCTCTTCCAATTCACTGTCAACATAGCTAAATTAGTCATGCTTTTGTCAGAGTCGACATCATAGATAGAAATCCTTAAGTGAGATATCTAATCAGTTATTTCTTTTAACATATGCTCTCAATGTTATACCAATTGGTTCCCTCTTTTGTTAACTAAGGCATATTATATCATCTTCTATAAATGTAAAACCAATATGTCTTGGGTAAAATAATTAGATTAGATAGTTTCACTTTTAAGATATCTATATAAATATTTCAAGATTTATATCAATAAAAAGTATTCAATTCTCTATATTCCTATCTGTTCCTATTTATTCATAACGTTCTAGCTGGTGATGATCTACTATCAAAGCTTATACAAGTTAAAATAATAGAAAGATACACCCAGTTGAGACTTGACACTTTAATAACACAGAAGTATAGCAAATAAGAGAGATAATAAAAAATGTTTCTTATTATTTTGATTTGAGTTATATATTTTTTGAAATTGTTGTCAGCAATATGTGACTACTAGTGAAAGATACACATTATAAATAAGTTCAGATAGAGATCTTTAAAAAAAATAGTTTCTCTTCTAAATAAAAACTTGTATATCTATACAGTGACTGACTGGAAGAATAGTTTGTTAGAAGTTATTCCTTAAAGATTCTTGCTAGACTCTTCCTTAATATCAGACAGTATATCACATGTAGAGAAGTTCTGCCAACAATAAAATAATTATTCATTTTCGATTATACTTAAGTAGTGTCTAGTAATATTACTAGACACAATGTGAATGTAGTCAAAGATAAATCATTATTTCAGAAAGTGTATAAGATAGCTTAAATCAAAATAATAAGAATCATCTTTTATTCTCTCTCTTATTTCACTATAGAAAATAATATGCAAGAATTTCCAAAAAAAAACTGCACATCTGCAAAATCTTTGCACATATTTAAAACTCCTGTTAGCCTTTCTAAATTTAGAGCAATTTAAACCCTTTTTAGAAGCTCTGTGCTGGTAATTATAATTTTTTTGGTTGTTTAACTCAGACAGCCGTTTTAAATGAGAAAAGAAAGAGGACTGCCGTTTTTTGTTTGCAAGTTTGATCAAAGTCAAAAACACAGCCAATCAATAAGATATATCATAAATTCGGTTTTTCTGACATTGAAAATTTTTAAATCAAATGGTAATAGCAACAGATTTTGCTATTGTTTTGGGTAATTTCTTTAAAGAAATTAAATGTTTATATATGTATTAAAAGAATAGGGAAAAAAACAAAGAAAAAAAACCTATTGGTTGTATTTTGGCGAAGGCCAGATAATGTGCCAAATGGTCTCGTCGTTTGGGTTATGGACGAGGCCAGCGATCCCCTTGATAGACTTCACATCCACCACCTTCACCACACCAGGTGCCAGGCTATCCCACGCAGGAAAAAGATCCTGGTTCACGCGTTGAACATCAGAAAAACAGTCGATGGTCGCAAAGAGTCTGGTCACTCTGTTGACAGTTTGGGAGAAGAATTTAAGAATAAATCCCTATCTTTCAAAAATATAAATGAGTTATGATTAATAAAATTTAACAATGTAGAATACAACTAGTGCTACTTACTCCCTGGCATCGTCGAGCACAGCAAGATTGTTTGCTCAACCATGCCTGTTGTCAACAGAGGACCGGACTCTATAGACCACCAAGTCTTTCCACATCTTGTTGGCGCAAACCACTTCATCGTTTTCCTCAAAGGAAACAATGCCTTCTCTTGCCCAGAAAGGCACCAAACTGCGGATCAAGTCCTGGCACTCTATGCCAATGGCGGCAGCCAACTCAGCCAGAGAGCTTCCAGTTGGCCTGGACCAAAGTTGAGGACCAGCAACATCGTTACTTGCAACTTCGAAGTTGCTGGTCCTTCTGTCATTTGTGACACAAATGACAGGTTGGCAACCAAGACAGTGATTGATTTCTGCCTTTCTGAGCAAGAGATTCTCCATGTTCTTTCCTGGTTTCTTTCTCGACTTGATTGCCACGCTGTAGACACCAATTGTCCTTTTGATTGGCCTACAACTGTATGCCTGAAGAGGGCCCATCTCCCACATCATATAGTCAAAATGAACCAGCATATGCTGGTTTATCACAAAAACTGTAGGCTTCAGCCTCTTTTCTTTGATCTCACAATGGAGGGAGGCATGCCAGTGACCAATGGCCCTATAAAGATGATTGAAACACTGATCAGCATATATCCGATTGACTTACTCCTCTGCTTCTTGGATATTGGCAGCAGTGATCCTCCACTGCTGGGCAATTCTGCATGCAGTAACAAGTTTCATTACTGCTGCTTTTGTACAATCAAAAACGAAATGATCGATGACAATTGTTGGAACAACAAACAAGAGGAAGTCTATCCAATCAACAGTCTTCCTCTTGCCGTTTGATTCCTTCAAGGGTCTTCACATTCCCATGAAATCGGCTGGTATATTGGCCCTGGATGCGCAAATTGCTATGTTGATATCTTCCAGACTGACATCCAGGGCAAATGGGTATCTGTGGTGTTTCAACCGGTCTTGCAAGTGAATGCCATGTGCATTTCTTCTACTGTTATTGATTGTGGGGCAGAATTTTCCTCCAAGTGCAACGTAGAGCTGCTGGCCTGTACCATGACCTAGAAGGTGCATCTCATCCAGTCCGAAGAAAGCAGTACTGGTCATTGTGGGCAAGTCCTTGAAGATGTTGGGCCCTTTGATGCCATACATCTAAAACGGTATCAATATTTATTTTGTTTAACAGTTTACAACTTACGCCTCCAATGGACTGGTACAAACTCTCTTCTGTTCTCAACAGTGACAGTCCGTCTCTTTCCACAATACAAGTCGTGCTTGAATCTCTTGCACCATATGAGATGCAAGCTCTTTATCCGTGATGGGCATTGTGATGTGCCAGGTTCATCAAGTCAGAGATGGCTGGAGTATTTTCAGTCGCCATGACAAGATGAACCTTGGAAATCACCAGTCCAGAATCAGTCTGAAACTGCAGGTCATTTGCCCCCAAGTTTCTCAGGTCATCGAGAACTGGCTCCAAAAACGAAGCAATATCTTTTGGATGGTTAGGTCCTGGTATGATAGCCAACTGCATCATGTTACCTGTCTTGTATCTAAGTAGTTCGTATTAGTAACTTTATCTAAATTAATTTTTTTTAAATACCTTTCTTTAAGATAGATATTCAGATTAATAACATAAATAACAGAGGATGACATTTTGGCATTTTTAAATGGGTTGAACTGGTCAACAAACATGGACACCTAAATGTCATCCTGACCAACCACTCCACAATCAAGTAACCATCCAACTACGTCTCCATCGAAGATGTCTTCACATATATCTTCACGTCTGCCAGCCAAACACCTTGTACCATAGGTCATCTTGGCCCATTCCTCAGGGTGGGCGAGTTTGAACCACAGTTGCTCTAAGAGAGACACGATCTGAAAGGTCTGTGCAGGCTTTACAGTCACTTTCTCCACTTTGTATCTGTCCTCACCGCAATGAGGACATGTCTCATCCTTGTCAATGAAGTCTCCTTCTTCTACTGTTGAGAACCAGCAGCATCCATTTATGCACATATCGTATGCAATGGACTTCACTGGGTACTCCTCCTTCAACAAGGTATTTACCCTGTAGTATGACAGAAGTGAATCCACTTTAGCTAAAATGGTGGTAAGTGCATGTGATATAAAAAGAGTATACTAATTATAAACTTACTGAATCTAAGTTCTGCCATGTACTTGTTGACAATTTTTATGCATTTATCATAGTCTTCATGAGAGATGTTGTTCTCAAAAAACATGGAAAACAATTCCAGACTGACAGCCTGTGCACGACTGTTGGACACGTGTGTGGGAACAAAATGTTCATAATCAGTGACATGGTCTACTGGAGCATTGTACACTCTGTAAGGGTTACGGACACGCAAATATCCATAGTCATTGTCTGATATATTTAGGGTTTTACAGTTAGATACAATTATATTTAATACTAATGTTTTTTAGTTGTTTATTTCTTACCAGATATATAGTCGATGTTTTCATTGATTTCCTTAACAGACTTGACTTGAACATCATTGGTGTCCATACTCTCTGCTTCATTGTGATTGCTATTGCTTGCAGCCAAGAACTTGTCAAAGTCCATAGGGGCAGTAGTAGCAACCTTGTTCCTGTTGTTGGATTTTTCACAGGCTTGGGCAATAATACAGTCTTCAATCCGATTTGAGCATTTAACAAAAAACGAATCATCAAGCATATAACCACTTGTTCTGGTCTCAGAGGCATTGTTAAGTAAATCTTTGATATTCATTTTGGTTTATGTTTGTATGTTAAAAGAAGTAGGGGTGTAAGGTTGCGAAAAATGTTTACGAGATGAGAATATTTTTGTATTATATTGGCACATTGGTAGTGAAAATAACAAGTGCGCTAATTGTCTTAAAAATGTTTTTCAAAGGGATTTTGATTGTTTGTTTTTAAATTAATTTTTACTCATTTTTCTTCAAGTCACTTCGCCCCTTTCATTTTATTCTCCAAGTATATTTTTTACCATAGCAACACACAAAATTACACAAATACTTGAATGTCTGGCATACTTAGAAGATTCTAATGCTTCACTAAGAACTAAAGTTGCTTTATTGGAAGATAGGCTCGAATTCTTAACCAACAATTGCGAGACAGAACTAGCTCTGTCAACTAGAGACAATGCTCAGACTATGATGATGTTATGGCCTGCAACTGGGAACTGTGACATCAAACGCCCTTCACCCCATGGGAAGCCAGAAGGTTGGAATCAGTCAACAAAATGCTTCAAGGGGGTGTTGGCCGCACACTTTACTGGAGGCAACCTCGACAATGCTGAATTGATGTATAAGTCAGTGGGCAAGCTTGCTTGAGAGCTAGTCCACTACTCATTTTCCAAGTATAGTGGCAGAAATATTGCTATACCATCATGGGTTAGTCTGGCAGATGACCAAAAGACAATAATGAGCAGCAGCCTCGAAGAGAATGCAGCCCTGAAAAACATTGCTCTTCACAGATTCAAAAATTCTTGGGGAGCATTGCTCATACTCTCTCACAAGTAGAGAACTGCCAAATATCATGGAAGATCTTATTAACAAGTAAGGTACTTATAAAGTCATTTATATGTTTAATCACAACTAATAAAAATCAACTGTTTTGTTTTGTTTTGTTTATTAGAGTAGGTAATACTAACTTTTATATTTTTAATCTATAGAAACCTAATAAAAATATCATTTTAAAAAATAACTTTATGAAATACAATATAATTTGTTTATTGCCTTGTGTACTTCTTCTATTATTTTGTAAGTTTTTTTTTGTGGTTGTTTTTTGTAGTTTTTTTTTGTAGGTTTTTTGTATTTTTTTTTAAAAAAAAAATATTTCAGGGACCAAAAATAAAAAATAAAAATAAAAACAAATTTGCCCATGACGTATTACATATTTTTGACCAATGAGTGAATAGATAAATTTACTCAAACAAGATCTAGCTCATCTTAATATATGTATTTTACTGGCTGGAGAGAGTTGTACAATACTAAATAAAGTTCAAAGTCCTGGTATTCCACGGATCCGATTTGCTAAGAGATGTAGCACCAACAGAGTTATGCTTGATTTTTATTGGTCCATTGAGAATGTGCAGTTTTGCACATAATCACTCGAAATGTGCACTACGGAATTATAAATTGTGTCATTTCCTACAGTGTTTACTATACTTCTGTGTTACTAAAGCTTGACCAATTTGTTTATGTTTACAGTGATTATGGTAATACAGACACTCAGATGTTAGATTTATTGCATATAAAAACATATTCATATTGGGATAGTGTAGTAGCTATTATCTTGTCAGCATAATATATATATAAATGATGAAATAATCAGGCCAATAATTATTACAGTTAGTACTGTAGATAATATCTTAGATTGTTAAGATAATTATATCATACTGCCAGGTAAACTATGTCAGAGTAATACAGAGCTAATTTAGTAGGAAGTTCTAAAGCTTTAATATAAAAGAGAAAAGAATAGCTAAGAGCTAAAGAAGTACAATTTATAACTTGATGTCATAATTGTAACACCAACACTAGTTAAGTAGTAAATAGACTCTAATAATCAAATATAGTAAAGGAAGAAAGTTTTAAGAAACTAAGATGTAATGACAAGAGCAGATTGTATTTTCTTATAAAAAGAGATCTTTTTTATTTATGAATAAAGGATAACTTATATACAGTCTCAAAGTATTTCTATATGTCTCTATTATCAAATTTATTATTTTTCTATTGTTTCATACCTGAAATACCACATGGCATATCCAGAAAAAATGGCGCAAATGTCATCACATCCTGATTTAACTGAAAGTCAACAGTTGAATCTCAACCAAAGCACCAAGTGGAAGGAAAATCCCATGTTCCAAACCCTAATTATTACATCTGAAGGTTTGGATTATTGAGTAGGTAGTGTTGTTGAAGTACAAGGGTAATCAAATTTGTTCCTCTTGAAGAAGTTTTATATAAAAAATGGATCACATATGCAGGTGCCTTCCAAGTATATAGTGGTCATGGTACTATGCAAAGTTATTTTGAGAATGCTTACTTCTGGTCGTGTGGTGAATCTACAAATTTTGCTGTCTCCCTCCTTAAGTATACTATTGAAGTCAATAAGATTCTGTCTATTGTTAAAAAAAACAGCAATCTTTTTCTCAGATATAATTTATCTGTTTCTTCCTACCTTTCTGAGATTGTTTATGATACTCTTGTTGGTATCCAGTCTCAACTGTGGCTCAACACATTCTTTGTTGAAAGATTTAAGATAAGACTTCCCAGAGGTGGGTTAATGAAAATGGTTATTTGCTTACTGAATTCGTATTCTGACGACACTTCTGAGAACTCTTCAAAGCAATACAACAAGTATAACAGCTATCTCACGCACTTTGCCGTGATGCCTCTTGAGGTGAGAAATAATCAAGAGAATGCAATGTTCATTTCCACCTCAAATCATATGTTGAATGCTGTTGAGATGCTGCCCCCAATTGTTGATGATTTTGTGAAATTGGAGAAAGGAATTGTGATATACTCCAATGATTATGATGAAGATTTTCTGATTGTTGCTTCTCTGTTGTTGTTTATGGGTGATAATCCTTGGCAATTGCAACTTGCTATGCACAGTGGAACATTGGGAAAGCATTTCTGCAGGAAATGTTATTGAGAAGTACCCCAAAGCACTCAAAAAGACAACACATCAGAAATATCTTATCTTTCAGTTGATCATAATAGAGCTGAAAAAGAACAAAGGAAATCCTACATGCTTTTGCTGCTGCAAATACAGATTCAGAATTATATAAGCATGGGTGTGACCTAAACTATAGTAAGAACAGCAGCAATGAATTTCTCAGACTTGAAGCATTTGATGCAACAAAATATATGCCCATTGAAATTCTTCACATCATCCCGCTTGGCTTATCACAGTATCTGGTCACTTGCCTCCTTAAGTTCTCAAGAATGTCAACAGCAGAAATGGCAAGGCTTGAGTCAGCCATGAGTTCTTACAGAGTCTGCAAGAGTTATAGCAGAAGATTCAGAAATCAGCTTTGTCATAATGGTTTGTTTGTTGGGCGCGACTACAAACAGCTGATGCAAGTTCTCTCAAATGTTATGATAGAGCTTTTTCTGGAAATAGCAAATTCGAACTTCTCACTAAGACTCTCCATGTAGTTGCTAAATTGTCATCTTTATTGTACATGCGTGGAATAAGTAAAGACTTTGATTATTACATTGTCCTGATAAAACATACTGTTAATGAAGTGACAAATCCACTTCTTGCATTGGACATACATATTGAAAAGAGTAACTATACCAAGCAGGATCTAATCTTCAAGCCCAAAGTTTACCTTCTCTATCATATAGCCAAAGACATTGTTTGTTTCGGATCAGTTCTTCAATACAAGACAGAGAACAGCAAACAATTTAATAAGTTCATCTGTGAGCATCTTTTCCAAACTAATATACAATCAACTTCTCGAGATGTTGCTCTCAGATTTGGAAAACAGTTCATTTGCTGTTATTTGTGTAATAATGGATATTACAATGCAATGATGAACATGAATGGAACAAGTCAGCAAGTGAGATGCACTGCTGGAAAATATGTACAGGAACTATATGCATCTTCTGAATTTAGAAGGCACTTCTTTAGATCACAGCCTAATACTGACAATTTCAGTTTGCTGACACCCACTTTGTGCAATACACTTTTAGGTGTTTTTCAAGCAAATGGTCAAATCTTTTTTGGTCAGGTCAAAACAATTTCCATGCAAGACATTATAAATAATTTTGTTAAAAAACAATATATGCAAAAGTATCAAATGATATCTAGCAATAGTATTGAATGCATATATATTCCTCCTGTAATAACTGCTAATATGCATAACATTGTTGTTGTTCCTTTTGGCTATCTCCTGGAGATTCGTAAAGAATAAGTTGAAGTTGTCTAAGCTATAGACATTCACTTGCAACATGGCAACAATAGCAGAGAAGAACTGCTTAACGTTAAGAAGTTTGGTATGTTTTGGTGAATATTAATGAATATTGCCAAAATTGCATACTAAACAAAATAACTTAACAAAAAAAATGAATTTTTTCCAATGGGTTTTGACTAATAAAACTTTTCTTTTTCAGACCTTTTCATTTCTCCCCCTATTTTAAAATCCTGTATTATCTGAAATTAAAATAATTTTCTGAAAAAATACAGCTATTTCTTTTTTGTTACAATTATAGTCATTTTGTATAGCTACTTCTGAATTTAAACATGTTAAACTAAAGATTTACTCTCTAAGCCAATAAAATTATTTGACACTCTTGAAATTACTATAAGTGAAAAAAATCAGTGGGTATATATTCTTTTAGCCAGAAATCAAATATCATTTTATATAAATAGTCAAAAAATATAATTAATAAAAAGTATCTTTAATTCCTACCTAAAAACTATTCATAAACTTAACAATCTCTAGTGGTACTAATTCTGCAACTTAGTTACAAGTGCCAGAAAAAAAATACTAGATTGAGACTTGACAGTGAATTGGAAGACAGCCTAGATCAGGAACAACAAAAATAATGTTTGACAAGTATTAATTCTGATCAAGACTATCTTCTAATTCATTATAAATGCAGCCAAATTGGTCAAACTTTTATAACACAGAAGTAAGCGTTGTATCTAACATAATCTTAGATTTAAATTAAAAGTGCAGACACTCAATAAATACGTATATTGAGTTACTAACAACTAGTAAGGATACTAAAAGATATATCTTCCCTTATATAAGAAAACTACGTAAAGAACATACTAAGACAAATACTAAGACTCAAGTCAATAACACTAAAAACATAAGAACTAAATCATAGAAGATAATGGTAGAGAAACAGACATTACGTGATACCATCATATCATCACCAAGCTAAATACAATATCTATATAAATGCACAATACTAATAGCAATAGAACAGCATCTCCTTTCTGATTCTTTTACTTCTTCTAATAAAACAAAGTCTCACCATACTCTTGTCTACACTTATTTTATTTTATATCTTATTTTTATCTAATACATAACAGTAAGCAAACAAAAAAGAGAATAATAAAAATGATTTTTATTATTTTGATTTGGGTTATCTTATATACTTTTTGAAATGATTATTCAGCATTGACTATACTCAAGTAATGTCTAGTAATATTACAAACTGATGAATAGTCATTCCAATTCCTGCTTCTTTTGTAGAAACAAGTCACTAGAACTTGTATCACCAAAATTAAGCACAACACAAGAATATGTTGTTCCCGATCTGGGTTTGTCTTTCTTTTACTATAACAAAGTCAAAAGGTCAAACTCACTGGGGATCAAGAAGTATATATAAAATCAAAGAGAGGATAAAAGATATTTTTTATTGATAGGAATTGAATTGTCTTATATAGTTTTCTAAACTAATGTCGTTCCTGATCTGGGATGGTCTTCCTTTTACTATAGCAAAGTCAAAAGGTCAAACCCACTGGGGATCGGAGAGTATATGTAAAATCGAAGAGAGGATCAAAGGTCCTTTTTATTGATAGGAATTGAATTGTCTTATATAGTTTTCTAAACTAATACTGCGCATTATCCGCAGTAAACTATTATACTCTATTTAATTACAAGAGAAGTCCTTTTACTGCGGTTGATGCTCAGAAGATGTTACTGTGGTTAATCTTTACAAGACATTACTGAGGTTCGTTATCTATGAGGTATCTTTGACATACAGAACTGCTGCGGTCAATTATCCCGATTTCTCGGATTCATCAAAATAATGTCCGACACTAATACTGCACATTATCCGCAGTAGCTATTATATTATATTTAAATAAAAGAAGAGTCATTATACTGCAGTTAACCATCTTCAGAATTTACGGATTCATCAAAATAATGTCAGACAATCTGATGAATACATACACAAAACGCTACAAGCAAAAGCATGCTCCCTGCCAGGATCGAACTGGCGACCTTCAGATTATGAGACTAACGCGCTGCCAACTGCGCTAAGGAAGCACGGCTATACTATCAAAACTAATGCAAAGTAATTTGCCGTTGGTTAGTTTCTGGTGATAGACACCCGCTATAAGAAATGGCAGGTATTAAACTACTGACCTGGCAAAAATCGTTAAAAAGTGCCACCTGGCAACATTCTTCTGAGCCAATAGAGTTTCAGTATATAGCAATCAGTTTCACCTATTTAAGAAAATCAGATATGTTGAATAATGAGGTTCAGGTCTTATTTTAACCAATAACATTTGCAGATAGCTTTTTATTATTATAATGATTTTAATGTATATCTAGGGATCAGTATTCTTATTAGAGGGTTACAAACACTCAAATTTATTAAAAAAAATTCATTTTCATTTATTTTCACATTGAAAATATTGGGGTTAACAAAGTACAATATGCATACAAGTTGTAGAAGTTGTAGCAATATTTCTAACTAATTGAAAGATACTTTATATAAAGTAAGCCAAAAAACTATAACAGTAACTGAAAGACGTTTAATCTATACATAAATAAAAAGAAGAAAGAAAGAAAAAAATTAGTATTTGCATTCTGAAAGAATTTATTTTGAATAGAATACAATTGGTATTAAATGAGTATAAAATAATACAAATCTTTATATTTAATGATTTCTACACTTTACTCATACTTTCATTTTGGGCATTTATACCTTTAATAGCTTAGAAGATTCAAGCCTAATTATTATCAAAATGAAGTTTGATTAGTAATTTACCATTAAAATCTATTAACATTGATATATTTACCTCAATATTCATATATACATAGCAGCATTATTCTATAACAATATTATTTAGTATAAGAATTACTAAATGTACCATTGATTTTATGCTCTTGATTAAAGAAAAAGAAAAAATGTTAGTGTAGTTAAAAAGCACTTGTTGTTTACTTTTGAAAAGAGAAAAATCTAAGCCTTAGTACAATAACTGAATATCAGTATAAAAACATAATAAATTCTGCAAAGTCGTTTTTTACTACTTGGATTGCATTGATTGCATTGATTGCATTGATTCCATTTATAAATGTTTATACGTCACAGCATGCCTTATAAAAGTGTTTTATTTTCTTAAAAAAGGGCAGCATAATATTCAATTATCAATGGTTTCACCAGACCAATAATAAGAATTATGAGTTCTTAACTTTTAATATAGCTTTAAGAGTCTTCTGTAATAAACTTTTATTTCAATATCAGTATTTATATGCCTAATTAAGCTGCAAACAACCTAAACATGGTAAAACCTATAGGAGATTAAAAAAGTTGCCAGGTTTGCCAGGTTTTTTAAGAAAATCTAGCAATTTTTTTCTTATAGTGACTGGATGGTGGGTTCCTTTGGTGATTTGATCTGATGGTGAGCCATGACGGGTGGTACCGGACTTGTGGGTGTTAATGTTGATAGTGAGTCAACCAAGTGACGTGCCTTGAGGGACAAGAGTGGTCCCTCAGATTTCTTGGGAAATCTTGTTTCTGATACCCCTTATACTCAAACCTCTAATTTTATTCCATCCCTTAAATAATTAAAATACCCATCTATATTGTCACTTCAGAAATGTCTGTTATCCACTAAAAGTTATATTTCTTTCCCCTAATTTTATACACTTCTTTATTGTCAATATTTATTTACAATATTTTTTATTATATTTTCATTAGATTTCATTATTATACTATTATTATATTTTTTACTTTACTTCACTATATCATTATTATATTATTATTTTATCTCTATTCTACCCCACTATATTTTTATTTTATCTTTATTCAATTACTATATTTTTATACTACAACAAATAGAGGCGGTTTTTTCAATTTGCGACTTCATTTATGATCTATAATAATCAAGAAATCACCAAAAATCCAAGTTGAAACAAGAAAATCTCTGTTTTTTGAAATGATTGATAAAAAGTGAATTGACTACCTAAAATTAGATCTCAGTAGAGAGAGACATTCATTTTAACTACAGATATTACATTTATAAAGAATATAGATTGCAATTGAGTACTATTAAAAGTCAGAAGTAAAAAGAGAAGAAAATATCTAAACTTTTATTACTTGAATAAAATCTGTTAAGATAATTTAAAGACACACTAAAAATTTAGAATAGATAACTTCATGTTGTCATTATAAAATTACTATATTGATATTTCATATCAAAGAGTAGCAATACATTTATACAAAATATATGATGCTAATGATAACTTGAAGATTTTTTTTTCATTCTTCTTTTTTTTCATAATAAACCCTGATGTTGGATTTTTTATTATTATTAATAATGCAGACAATAATGTAAATCATTTGCTTCAAGATATGCAAGATATACTTCTTGCTTTTCAGAGAGGCTATGAAGTACTTCAAAAGAAACAAACAATTTTATAACTGGAGATTGTCAAAATACTTAACAACATAAATGAATAAGCATGTTAGGAGAAAATTTTATGCTAAGATATAAGAAACATGAAAATAAAAAAAACATATAAACTAATATAAAACTATATAAATATCTTGTACCCTAATTCTAAGACCTATTCCTAGCATTAAAAGTATAATTTTGTAATAAAACTTTAGAATAATGAGTCTGAATCTTTGGTTTTAACTAAACAAGAAAAACAAAGAAACTATTAACATTTGTATATATCTTATCACTATTGATCTGAACGTTCTTTCTTCTTTACAAGCTATAGAATCAAATGCAAATTGGATATTCTTCTTTCAAGAAGACAAGGACTTGATGTACAGTGAGGGATAAAAAGAATTGTCTTTTTTTAAAATGCCGAAAACAGCAAATGTAATAGTCTCTCTTTTTCTTTTAAATTAACATTTTATGAAATGAACAATCAAACTGAATGTACAAAAAAGATTACTAAAATTTCTATCAATAGATATAAAAACATATATAATACAACTCATGCGATTATTGTTTATAAGAGTGTTAAGAATGATACTAGTCAGGTTGATATTACCAAAAAAGTAGGCATAAGCAAAGACATAGTAAAGTGTGTTCTTCAGAGCTACAAAAAAACTGGCTCACATATGGCTGTACCACGACCTGGCAGATCTTTAAAATTAAATGAGAGAGACAAAAGAGAAATTATGCTTCAGATTAATCATGATCCAACACAGCCAATGAGTACTATTGCTAGAACCTTGTCCACACCAGTTCCTGTAAAGACTTTGAGAAAGTTTTTTCACAAGGCTGGAATATACTCTCAAAAGATGATTCTGAAACCAAAGATTTTGGAAATCAATCATAAAAAGTGATTGCAATGCGCTAAGAAACATGTGGTATTTCAGGTACAAAACAATAGAAAAATAAAATATTTGATAATAGAGATGTATAGAAGTACTTTGAGACTGTATATAAGTTGTCTTTATTCATAAATAAAAAGTGTCCCTTTTTATAAGAAAACACAATTTGCTCTTGTTATTACGTCTTAGTTTCTTAAGGCTTTCTTCCTTTACTATATTTGGTTATTAGAGTGTATTTACTATTTAACTAGTGTCGGTGTTACAATTATGACATCAAGTCATAAATTGTACTTCTTTAGCTCTTAGCTATTCTTTTCTCTTTTATACTAAAGCTTTAGGACTTCCTACTAAATTAGCTCCATATTGATCTGACACAGTTTACCCAGTAATATGATATAATTATCTTAACAATCTTTAAGATATTATCTACAGTACTAACTGTAATAATTATTGGGCTGATTACTTAATCATTTATATATATTTTATACTAACAAGATGATAGCTACTACACTATCTCAATATGAATATGTTCTTATATGTGATAAATCCAACACCCGAGTGTCTGGATCACCACAAAACATCTGCACTGGAAAACAACAGATTGGAATTCCATCATCTGATCTGATGAGTCAAAGATCCAGCTCCACGGAAGTGATGGGCACTGGTGTTTTCTCAGGCCAAATGGCAAGGGCTTTAAGCCCAACTTCGTCTCATCAATTGTGAAGTTTGGAGGTGACTCTATTATGGTCTGAAAGTGCTTCTATAGAAAGGCTGTCCAAATTTTAGATGTTGTGCCTGGAAATATCAATTCCAAGAAGTACGTCACAACCTTGGAAAGAGCCTACCTCTCTTCTTTAAAGGCATTCAAAGAGAAAGATAGCTGGAGAAGATTTTGACTGCAAGAAGATAACACTAGCTGCTATGTGAGTGCGCTAACAAGATAATGAAAGAAAAAAACAAGGTGAAACTTTTGGGCAGCTGACCACCTCAAAGTCCAGACTTGAATCCAATTGAGCATCTCTGGACATATCTCAAGTTTAGAGTATGTATGAACAGATACAGCCCGTATAGCATTTATCATTTGAGACATGTCATAATAAGGGAATGAATGTTAATGCCCCAGAAGTATTTGCAGAGTTTGGTCCAAAGCATGAACAGAAGATGTCAAGCTGTAATAGATGCAAATGATCATAATACCAAATACTAAAATAAAGACTCTTCTATAAATTAATAAGAATAAGTACTTTCAACTTTAGTCTAATACTACGGTGGGATGAATGGCAGTTGGGCTGAAAGTAGGCACATAACTGCCATTTTTTTGGTTGAAACCCAATAAAATCTCTGCTGTTTGTTGTAAGATGGTAATGTCATTGGTAGCAATTTAAAAAAGTAACATAAAAACACTTTTTTTGTTGCTGTACAATATTTTCAATACTGTAAAAAATGTTTGTAAGTTGTAATGACTACTTTGAGTATGGAAATATATGTTTTATTGAATATCAAAGATGTCAACAATTATTAAGATTAATAATTTTTGGAATGTGTGAACGAAATGGTAACATAACTGCCATTTTTTTATTTTTAAACTATGTTCTTTTTTTAGATATTCTTTTTATCTTGATGAATTGGCAATTTGATTTTATTTAAATTGCGTAATGGCGTATAGAGCATATAGAGAATGGAGAGAAAAGCATAAAATGTATAGAGAATAGAAAAAAAACTGGAGTATATAAAGAAGAAAAGAAAGACGGGGCATATAGAGATTAAAAAAACATAAGAAATAGAGAAAATTAAAAAAAGAATATAAGATACAAGGAGGATATAAGAAATATAAAAGATATAAGGATATAGAGCATATAGAAAAATAAGATAAAAATAAAAAGGATTACAGAATAAAAAGATTGCCTTTAGTAATGCGCATGTTGTTGTTAAAGATATAATAGGGCACAATTATATAAAACTGGTTTCCATTTGGTGGGTATTGGACCAGACCAACTTGATGACAAATGTCATTTTCACTTATAGTTGCATAAGTTGGTTGCGTTTGGTAGCCTAGTGTACAGGTGCTTTGTGACTATTGTTTGACAATAGGTACTGATGAGTCATGGCCAGCCACGTCATGTTCCTTCATGACCTCCACAAAAGCAAGAAAGTGTGGGAAGCCATGGAAATCTACATGCTAAAAGTAGAACTGTACTGTACCGACGAGCCAGGTGTGAACAATTATATTATGGTTGTTAAAAAATTAAATAAATAGAATGTAAGCAACTTTTGATTGTATATCGAAAGATATTATACTTACTTTCTATAGAGGCAAGTAAACATCACGTAATGGTTGCCACGGCTGGTCTTGTTTTTCTTTCTTTGGTACATACATGAGGAATATACAGTCAAGTCCATCCACAGACGTGCAGCTACAACAACAACAGAGTCACCAAACTCATGGCCAGTCAAGCCTGTTGTTCTCCGGTAGTATTTCAATAAAGCTTCCTTCACACTAGGGCCGCCTACACCTTCCACCAAATCATTGTTCAAATTAACAAACTGATGAAATGGCTCCCATAACTGCGCACTACTAGGATCATTAGGAAGGTCCATGTAGCTTTCTCTTCCATATGGCTTTGGCCGAATGAGGTTGATTTCATCACAGATGCTGATTGCCATGTTGGTATAATTGTGAATTGCAAATTGCTTGACGAGAAAACTGGCATTTCGGCCACCCTTTGATTTGGACTTTATCAATTTGGAGAAGACGCCAATTACTCTCTCCATTGAGCAAGTGGAGTAGCATTGCAGGGGGCCTTGCTGCTTGATGATATAGGGTATATGGACCAGGTAATGTTGCACTGGTCGGAAACACTATGAGACAGGGTATTATTCTGAACTTGTTGGTATAAAAACGAGTGTCAGTGCTTGAAGTATCTATTATTAATATTTAAAAAATGGTAATAATCAGCTATTTGTAATGATAATATATGAGAAGTATAATAACTTACGACTCCATCTTGTCAAGCAATTCTGATGTCAATGTCCATTGCAAGGTAAGCACGCAACCTTTCACAAGAGATAATAGGGCTGTTTTGACAGCCCTATTTGGTAAATAAGGCACGACCAAAGTGGGGACAAGGTATAAGAGAAAGTCAAGCCAGTCAACTGTGTGAGTACCGTCGATCTTGGCAAATACGTTGTCAAAACTGCCTTGAAATGAGGTGGGTATATATTTTTGTGAGCTGGTGATACAGTTTCCATTTGTTACAAGGTCTGCTCTTGGTATATGAAAAGATTATTTGGTGGTATTGAGGGTATTGTCTGGATGGGTATAATAAAATTTGATTTCCTTTGTGAGGGTGACAGTAATCAGGTCATATACAAGCTTTCTAATCCCTCTTGCAATTAAATGAAGTTCATCTAATACAAAAAATGATGATCCGGAGAAGGTTGAGAGTTGGGCATATATGCTTGGCTGGTATATGTTCTTCGACTATTACAAGCAGTTATTTAGTATGAAAAAAAGATGGCTAATTGAACATTTGTATACTTACAGGGTTGCCTACTTTGAAGTCTTCCAAAGGTCTTAACTGGGTGGAAATGTCATCAAAGTACATGCCATGCCGTCTGTTAGTAGGGCATTTGCCTTTGGTCTCACAAAAACGGCAACCAAATAAACTTGTATGAGAACCAATGTGGGCCATATCAGCTACAGCTGGAATATCGTCAGAAGTAAGCAGCAGATAGACCTTGGATCTGCAATGCTCCACTCCATTGTGCTTGACAACCAAGCCATGTGCCTCAAGATCTCACAATTCATTGATGATGGGTATAAGAAAGGAGTCCAAATGAGTCAGCTTCTTGGGACCAGGCAAGATTGCGAGTTGCAAAAGATATTTGTTGGTATATCTAAGTATTTTATTAGTAACTTTTTTTTTAAAAAAAATGTAATATTAATAATAAATAGTAATAAATTAATTAATTATCTGATGGATGGGTCTAGGTTGAATATTATGCAATGGATGATATTATATGAGTTTTTGCCTTTCTTTTGATTGACAAACCCATTGGTATAAAGCCCAATGGCAATATCATTGGGATTAGAGAACAGGCCCTGCTGCACCAACTGCTTGTAATTGTCACCATCAAAAATGTTGGTTAGCTGACCAGCTACAGATTCCCGGTTTGCTCTGTAATAGAGGAGTTCTCTTGTGGCTAGATCTGTCAACATTTGAGAAAGCATATCCCTGACTGACATAAGTTTCATACTGGCAGCTGGTGCCTGACTTTGATTGGGATCAGTCTTGTATCGCAGTTTGCCGCAGTCAACACAAGATTCCTGGTCGTCATTAATGCCATACAATTGACAACCACTAGAGCAGACATCATACTCATGGCCTTTGACACTTGACTTTGACTTGAGCAAAGCATCAACAGTTTCGCCATGATTGATCTTAGCCCCAGGTTTTAAAAAAACAAACAATATCACTATATGTTAGTGATCTGGAATTAAAGTACAAGGTAACAGAAAATATAATACAGTCTGAGAAAGAAATGTTTTGCACCCTGGCGCGCTATTTGCACCTTTGCTTTATAACCTATATTTTATATTTTTCAACGTCTTAAAAAACTAATTAACAAATCTACCATAATGCCAAACACACAAAAGAATAACTCTCATGGGCCCTATAATGTGCTTTCAGATTTGACAAAAGAAAAGATCCTTGGTCTTCAACTTGCTGGAAATAATGTTGCCAGCATTTCAGCCAAGCTGAATGTACCCAAATCAACGGTTTGATATTTTTTAAAGAGATATAAAGAAAGAGGAACTGCCGATAACAGAAAGTCTTCTGGAAGACCACAGATCCTCACACCTAGAGACAAAAGACGTATTGTCTCGAATCTCAAAAAAGACAGGTGGTCAATGTTAGATGATCTTGTTGATGATGCTAGTGCTGACACGGGATAGAATGTCAGCAAGGTTACCATGCGTAAAGCTTTGCACAGCATGGACTATTTTTGCCGTAAACCTATGTCAAAGCCTTTTCTTACCAAGGCACACATTGCCAAATGCCGAGCTTGGTACAAAACCGTGAAAGACTGGAATAAACAGTGGGAAACGGCTATCTGGAGTGACGAGTTGTCATTTGTGCTGTATAAGAAAAATTCAAGCAGAAAACTCTGGCGCAAAACTGGTAAGAGGTTTGATATGGATCACTTTGTCCCAAAGATGCAAGGAAATGGTGGATTGGTTATGGTCTGGGGGTGTATCTGGTCAGGAGGACTTAGTCCACTTGTTTTTGTAGATGAAAACATGGACGGTCCAAGATATGTAGAAGTTCTTCGAGACCATTTTCTTCCATTCTTGCATGCTCTTCCTGTACCTAGCAGCGGTAGCTACAAGTTCCAGGAAGCTAATGCCAAGGCGCATAAATCAAAAGTTGCAGGAAAGTTCAAGAAAAAACATGGTATTGATGTTTTGCAATGGCCACCCAACAGCCCTGACCTTAGCCCCATTGAGAATATATGGGGAATCATTGATCACAGAATCAGAGCAAGACGCCCCAGACCAAATTCTCTGAATGAGCTGAAGGCTGCTTTGTTGGAAGAGTAGAACAAAATATCAGCAAAAACTTGTAGAAGATGCTGCTTGAATATGCCAAATCGATTGGCCTTACTTAAGAGAAAGAAATTTAAGTAAATCTGCTATTAAAACTGTATCTTTTTTTTACATTATTAATATATATGTCTTTCACTTTTATTGTTCCAAGTATTATATTTCAATACGTATTGTACATCTTTAGAAAGGGATTTGAAGTTGTGATATCTTCTTTACCATCCATGGCAGATGTCAAAATGGGCGAAACATTTCTTTTCGGTACTGTATTTTACCCATCATTATATTGTCATGGTCTCAGATGACAGTGTTTATAAATTGAACAATGTCTCTATATGCTGCTCTAGCAATTCTATGCTGTAGCATCAATTGAGACAGATGAATACTCATCAACTCGGCCTTAGTAAAAGTATTTGTACTGATTTGGCTGCTGTCATAAATGTGAGCTTCACCCTCACTATCCTCAAAATTACATGCGCACTTATATGAAATAGTATTATCAAGCTCCATAGACTCCATAGTATATTCTGTAATACATTATTTAGTAATTGGAAAATAAATAATACAATTACAGCTCTTTTCATTACCTGAATTGCTAACAGATTCATCTTCATTACTAATATCATTTTCGTCATGGTACATGTCAACATCATCCAGAATAGACTGGTCAATTTCAGTCATTGTTGCTGAATCTCCTCTGTGAATTCTCTTGTGGTTTTGCAGCTTCTGATAGTTATCAAAAAACAAGACACATTGATCACATTGGTATTGCTGTGTAGATATTCTATCTCTCTGCTGGCTGGCGTTGGAAGAAGACATATTGGTTGGGTTGATACGTATGTAATATATAAAATAAAACTGCGAAGAGGATTTTGGTGCTATTCATTAAATGTAAAAGACATCTTTATATACTCTTTATTTTTTAACCAAAATGCTTGCGGCTCTTTTTCTTTTTCTCTCTCATAGTGATGATATAGCAATGATTACAGTAATGTCAATGCTAGGTGAAACACCTGTCAGTAAATAATTCCTGTGATTGGAAAGATTCTTCTTCATTAATAATTATGATGTAAGTTAAAATACTTCTTGGTTGACAAAGGGGTACCATTAAAAGAGCACTGATGAAACAGACACATACTCTTTACTTGTGAGCAATTAGATATTCTTTGGGCTTTATAAAGAGGTATATGTATATTTAGGATAATTAACGACCAAATAATTTATGTTTTTTTTTAAATAAATTATTAATTACTCTCTAATACCAAAGGCAAAGAAAAACAGCCTTCTAATAATTAACAGTTTAAAAAAAGTAGTACTATCTAAACACATTGGTAGAAAAGACATATTTATATTATCTGTGTTGTACTAATAGTATTTTTGAGATAGTGAATATATATTTAGCTAATAGCATTACTTTCTTGTTTATGTATAAAACATAAAGAAATAGATATAGCTAATGAGGGCTATAGTCTGATACTCTTTTACTGACATCATCAAGATAAGCACTACTGATCAAAAGAGGTGTTAATTGAAAGTGCCAATGTGAGTTAAAGCATACCTTTTTCAAAAATGTATGGTTTCAGTCAAAAATGCCCCTTGGTAAATAATAGTAATGACAGTTAAAATTATTTTTACCTTCAATGACAGCATCAATCAAAACGCGTTTTAGTCGATAATAATAATAAGTATGATATGGACTTGAGTATCATAACATTTACTTTAATGTTGATAAAAAGTGGCTAATTAACTATATGATGTTCAGATGTTATATAGCTACTGTAGAGTATATTTAAAGTTATAATTTTAACTGGTACAGAGTTTTGTCATTGAGAACTTTAACCAATTTTTATGCTATATCTGCAATATGTATAGAGTTATATTATTTTATCATATACTTTAAAACGTTTAATATGTAGATGGTGCAAAGTATGAACATTTATACATATAATATTGATTTAATGTCTAATTCATTTTATCTTTATATTTCTTACACTTTTGTTGTGTCAACACAAAAAGACTGTATCATGTTCACATGAGCTACTGCAGACAGGTGCAGACAGGTGTATACAAGTGCATAAGTATCCCTTCTTTTATATGTGTTATGTATGAGGTAAAAATAAGATATAAAATAAAACGAGTGCAGACGAGAGTACGGTGAGACTTTGTTTTATTAGAAGAAGTGCAAGAATCAGAAAAGAGATGCTGTTCTATTGCTATTAGTATTGTGCGTTTATATAGACATTGTATTTAGCTTGGTGGTGATATGATGATATCATGTAATGTCTGTTTCTCTATCATTATCTTCTATGATTTAGTTCTTATGTTTTTAGTGTTATTGACTAGAGTCTTAGTATTTGTCTTAGTATGTTCTTTACGTAATTTCCTTGTATAAGGGAAGGTATATCTTTTAGTATCGTTACTAGTTGTCGGTAACTCAATGTACGTATTTATTGAGTGTCTGTACTTTTAATTTAAATCTACGATTATGTTGGATACAACATTACCCCCCTCCAGGTTGGTACAACCGTTTGAATTGCATGCGGAGGTATATGTGTCTGCAATGTTGCTGTTGTTTATTTGCGTGTACGTTTGCTAAAGCGTGTAGGCTCTTGTATTGGATGTGTACGCTTGTTATGTATAATTGTAGATTTATTGGTGGGTTTCTCTGGACCTCGTCTTTGCCAATATTTGTCAATTATGCTCAGATCGTTGAAATTGCTTGTGGGCTCCCAAGTGTCTTGATCTGGTGCATAGTTTTTCCAGCGCACTCTGTAAAGGTAGTCGCCTTTTTCTTGACGATGATCAATGATAGCCTGTATCTCGTAAAAGCTATCTGGAGATATAACAGTATCTTGTGAGATCAGCTTTATCTGCGAAGGTGGGATGTTTCGTGATAGAAGTGCTCCCGTTTCGTCTTGCAAAATGTAGCTGCCTCCCTTTGTTCTGCCCTTGACTGTGAATGGTCCTTCATATCTTGGGTCCATCTTAGACTTTCTTAATATGTTCTTTATCATCACGTTGCTGTCGTTCGGGAACTCCATTATTATTTTATGGTCTTTGTCGTGTTTTCCTTTATCAGCAGCTTGTGTAGCTTTGATGCGTTCGCAGATTGCTGGGAATACGACAGTCTCCATTTGTTCAATTCTTTTTTTCATATCTGGTAGACTGTTAGGAGCGTTGTGCGTGCTCTCTGTTTTTCTGTAATCAGCAAAATCGTTTGGTTGTCTTGCAAACATTAGAGTGAATGGGCGTGTGCCATGTAGCTTAGCATGTTTGCTATTTATGGCTAGCTGTGTGCTTGGGATGTATATGTCCCAGTCTCGCTTTGCTCCCTGTGTTCTCTTGTTGATGACTTCCTTGGCTGTGTGTACCCATTTTTCAGCAACTCCATTTGCTCGCGGATGATAGGGTGTTACAAGCCGATGATCAATTCCTGCTGTATTTGTGAAAGTCTTGACGAGTTCGTTGACAAACTCGGTACCATTATCTGACTGTAAAACCTTGGGTAGGCCGAAGTCGCAAAAGATTTGAATGAGTTGTTTTGCAATTGTTAAAGATGTCTTATCTGGAATTGCGCGGAGTATGCAGAATCGGGAAAAGATGTCAACCATTACTAGCATGTAATGATTGCCATTGTGCGAGGTGGTGTATGGGCCAGCTAAGTCTATGGCCCAGTGTTCACCTGGTTGACTGGCTGTAATAGGCTTCAGCGGATGATAGCCGTGTTTTGAGACATTGAACCGTTGGCAATTCAAGCAGCGCTTTACTGTTTCTGTTGCCTCTTGCTTGAGATTAGTCCAGTGTAGTCCGTCACTGTGTATAGCATTTACTATGGCATCTGTGCCAAAGTGGCCAAGTAGATGTGCTTGGTCGAGCAGATTCTGTCTGTCTTTGACCGGTGGTGTTATCATGTCACTTGTGCTATGCATGCGTTGAATGGCATGTGTTTTGTGTTTTCTGTCCTTTGTTGGATGTTTCGTAGAGATTTCTACGGTTTTACCCTCCCCCAGCGGTTTTTCCGAGGTGAAAAGGCGCGATAAAACATCCGGCAATACATTGTCAATGCCAGGGCGGTGGACTATGTCATAAGTATAGTCGCAGAGTACATCAAGCCAGTTTATCATCATAGGGTTGGCAATTTCTTGCGTGTGAAGGTACGTGAGAGCCTTGTGATCCGTGTACAACGTGAACTTGTTACCCCACAAGAACTTATGGAATTTAGCCAAAGCATAAACGATGCCCAAAAGTTCGCGTTTGGTGACAGGATAGTTGCGTTCAGATTTGGAAAGTGACCGTGCCATAAAACCAATGTAGCGATATTGGTTGTCTATAATCTGATAGAGCACGGCGCCTATACCTGTGTTGGAGGCGTCTGTGGCAACCAGAAATGGTTGGGTTGTGTCAGGGTGGCTTAGTACTGGTGCGTGTGTAAGTGCAATTTTGAGCTTGGAAAAAGCTTGCGTTTGTTCTTCTGTCCATAACCCGTGTAGTGAGTCAGCATTGCGTAGTTTGTCCAGAGGAGAAGACAGTTGCGACAAGTTGGGAATGTGCTCACGAAAATAGTTGACGAGACCCATGAAGCGTTGAATGTCTTTGCCAGACTTGGGTTGTGGCCACATGGTAGCATTGTGAACCTTGCGAGCATCAAGATCAATACCTCTAGTGCTTACAGTAAAACCCAGTAACGATACAGAAGTTTGTGCAAAGTGACATTTCTGCGGATTGAGAATGAGATTGACATCCGTGAGCTTTTGAATAGCCGTTTGGACGTGTTTAACATGGTCAGACATGTTAGTGGAAAAAACTACGATGTCGTCGACAAATGCAGTGACGTATGGAGTATCGTGATAAATCAAATTGACTACTCGCTGAAACTTGGACGACAATGGCTTGAGACCAAAGGGACATCCTCGAAACATATACTGATTGCCTTCAAACGTGAATGTAGTCTTGTGTCTATCGTCTTCATAAATTTTGAATCGATGAAAGGCACTCTTGAGGTCTAGCGTAGTGAAGATTGTTGCACCTCGTAGCCTGTGAAAGAGTTCAGAGATGAGTGGCAGAGGGAATCTGTCGTCAGGTAGCAGAGTGTTGATGGCTCTGGGATCTAAGCAAGGACGCTTGCCTGTGGGATTACCAAACTCATCTTTTTTAGGAGCGAATGTAAGTGGGCTGTTCCACTTAGTATTGACGGGTGCCCTTTGTATGGTGCCATCAGTAAGCCATTGGTTTATATGTTTGGCCATCAGTGGAACAAGTTGTAAAGCTATAGGATACTGTCGTCTATAGACTACTTGGCCTGGAGGTGTTGGTAGTCGTACAATAGATTCCTTAACTGTACAAAATGAAGTGATGGGTATGGCTTCATTTGCTTTAATAAAGGGTAGTAGAGCCTTCATGAATTGAGAGTGTTCAGTGGGTGTGCCAGCTGGTGCATTATTGGGTTTTTCTATTTCTGCTATGGGTGTTGGAGTCTGAGGTGTATTAGAACCGTACCAACTCTCTGCTAGTCCAAGTAAATGAATACCTAGACTTGGCATTAAATCTGTACCAATGCTAACATCTATGTTCTCAGCAAGATCCAAAACTTCAAATGAATGTATAATATGCTTGTTGTTATAAAAAACTTTTATTGGTTTTGTTACTCCTAGTCTATGAGCTATAGCGTTGTTAGTGGCCAACACAATTTTTCCGTTGCGCGGAATTGTGGGCCAGCCCAACTTGCTACAGATCTTGGTGCTGACGGAACTGATAGTAGCCCCTGTGTCCACCAATGCCCACAGTTTCTCCTCCTCTAAAGAGATAGGAACAAGATAGGAGTGAGTAGATCGTTTATTGTGATCTGTGTGAGTGCTTGTATACTTACATGTGGAGCACTGTTCAAAGTCCATGACCATGGACTGGTCGTCCTCAGATGAGCTGGCATCTGAGGGAGTACTGTCGTTGGTGACAGTGTGGATGGAGCGGACGGCGAAGTGGGGAGCAGAACCCCGGGGAGAGCCAGACGCAGAACCAGAAGAGCTGGAGGAACCAGAGACCGAAGAACAGCGGTGTTTGTGAGACCAAACTTCGCCGCACCAACGACAGGGAGCCGAACCAACGTACTTGTTGGCGTGGGGTGCCTTCTCCACCCGATTGCCGCCCTTGGTGGCAAGTGCATTCTTGAGGATGCGACAATCCTCAGTGTCATGGTTACCTTTACCATGTAGGGAGCATCTCTTGTGAGTTGAACGCTCACGGCTTTGAGCGTTCTCCCTTGATGAACCAGATGAGCGCCCAGCAGAAGACGAAGAAGATGTGCGGGACACCTGCTCAGAACCCAAGGTGTGTGCCCTGGCCACGGGCTCATTGCTACGGGCGGTTAGGAATACTGTGCTGTAAATAGACCTGGCCAGAGACGCAGCTTTGTCAATTGTGTCACGCTTTTCTCTGGGCATGTTGACCTGAAGGAGAGAGACCTGGCGTGCAAGCTCTGGTAGCAGCGTGGAAGTGTAGGCAATGGCAGCCTGCATATTATCGGCTACATCAGCTTCGCGGCGTACCCTCTGATATCTGTCCGTATAGTTGCTGACGGACTCTGTGGTTCGCATACGCATGAGCATCAGCTCATGTGTGAGCTGAACGCGTCTCTCAAGGTCATTGATTCCATATGCCTTGATGAAGGCATCCCGAGCAAAGGACCAGGGGAGTTCTGGGGAACTGCGCAAGTAGTTGTCAAACCAGGATCTTTGCTCGCGTGACAATACAATTGGGAGGAGGCGGTGCCAGTCGACGTTGAGGTCCATGCTGTACGAGTGCAGCACATCCTCAAACTTGTCCAGGCATTCTTCGATAGATGCATAGACCTTTTGTGTGTGGTCCCACTCGTTGCCTTGCCACTGAAATACTGGAAGCTCGCGGGGTACCAGACGAGACTGAGGAGCGGTTTGCTCAGCTTGAACCGGACTTGAGCGCACTAGATGACCATGGGCCGAGATCAGCATGACCAGGTCGCCTTCTGTCGCTGCAATGGTTTGGCGAATGGAGTTCTTGTTCTCCTCAGGCATATTATGTTCGATTGCATCTGCCAGTGCCGAGGAACAAGTGGCCAGCATTTCCCTGAGGCGGTCTATTGCTTGCAGGGTGCGGTCCGCATGGTTGATGACTTGGTTGTTGACAGGGGCTTCCATCATGCTCAGATCGCTCTGGGCAGTCAGGACCGGAGAGTTACTTGTTGTTTGTTCAGAGGACATGTTTGGTAGAGGTTGTTTTTCAATGAAAAAAAAGAGTTCACCGTAAAAAATGTTATGTATGAGGTAAAAATAAGATATAAAATAAAACGAGTGCAGACGAGAGTACGGTGAGACTTTGTTTTATTAGAAGAAGTGCAAGAATCAGAAAAGAGATGCTGTTCTATTGCTATTAGTATTGTGCGTTTATATAGACATTGTATTTAGCTTGGTGGTGATATGATGATATCATGTAATGTCTGTTTCTCTACCATTATCTTCTATGATTTAGTTCTTATGTTTTTAGTGTTATTGACTAGAGTCTTAGTATTTGTCTTAGTATGTTCTTTACGTAATTTCCTTGTATAAGGGAAGGTATATCTTTTAGTATCGTTACTAGTTGTCGGTAACTCAATGTACGTATTTATTGAGTGTCTGTACTTTTAATTTAAATCTACGATTATGTTGGATACAACAATATGTTTTGTTTGTACGTCTGTCTGTATCTTTTTCATATAAATAGCTATCAATTGCTTATAATAAATCATTGCCTTTCTCAAACTCAAATAGCTCTTATTCTACTTATCTAAACTATCATCTTTTCTTTTCAACTCACTGCTTATAGCTAAAAAAAACTTAAACATGTCCAATATTAACACAACTCTCCTCAACTCAATTCAAAAGATTGAGGTTGATCTTGCTGAAATCAAGCAAGCATTACGCGAGCTTCAAAGGCAACACTGTAGGAAATGGCACAATTTGTAATTCTGTAGTGCACATTTCGAGCTATTATGTGCAAAACTGCACATTCTCAATGAACCAATAAAAATCAAGCATAACTCTGTTGGTGCTACATCTCTTAGCAAATCGGATCCGTGGAATACCAGGACTTTGAACTTTATTTAGTGTTGTACAACTCTCTCCAGCCAGTAAAATACATGTATTAAGATGAACTAGACCTTGTTTGAGTAAATTTATCTATTCACTCATTGGTCAAAAATATGTAATACGTCATGGGCGAATTTGTTTTTATTTTTATTTTTTATTTTTGATCTCTGAAATATTTTTTTTTAAAAAAAACTACAAAAAACAACCACAAAAAAAACTTACAAAATAATAGAAGAAGTATACAGGGCAATAAACAAATTATATTGTATTTCATAAAGTTATTTTTTAAAATGATATTTTTATTAGGTTTCTATAGATTAAAAATATAAAAGTTAGTATTACCTACTCTAATAAACAAAACAAAACAAAACAGTTGATTTTTATTAGTTGTGATTAAACATATAAATGACTTTATAAGTACCTTACTTGTTAATAAGATCTTCTATGATATTTGGCAGTTCTCTACTTATGAGAGAGTATGAGCAATGCTCCCCAAGAATTTTTGAATCTGTGAAGAGCAATGTTTTTCAGGGCTGCATTCTCTTCGAGGCTGCTGCTCATTATTGTCTTTTGGTCATCTGCCAGACTAACCCATGATGGTATAGCAATATTTCTGCCACTATACTTGAAAAATGAGTAGTGGACTAGCTCTCAAGCAAGCTTGCCCACTGACTTATACATCAATTCAGCATTGTCGAGGTCGCCTCCAGTAAAGTGTGTGGCCAACACCCCCTTGAAGCATTTTGTTGACTGATTCCAACCTTCTGGCTTCCCATGGGGTGAAGGGCGTTTGATGTCACAGTTCCCAGTTGCAGGCAATAACATCATCATAGTCTGAGCATTGTCTCTAGTTGACAGAGCTAGTTCTGTCTCGCAATTGTTGGTCAAGAATTCGAGCCTATCTTCCAATAAAGCAACTTTAGTTCTTAGTGAAGCATTAGAATCTTCTAAGTATGCCAGACATTCAAGTATTTGTGTAATTTTGTGTGTTGCTATGGTAAAAAATATACTTGGAGAATAAAATGAAAGGGGCGAAGTGACTTGAAGAAAAATGAGTAAAAATTAATTTAAAAACAAACAATCAAAATCCCTTTGAAAAACATTTTTAAGACAATTAGCGCACTTGTTATTTTCACTACCAATGTGCCAATATAATACAAAAATATTCTCATCTCGTAAACATTTTTCGCAACCTTACACCCCTACTTCTTTTAACATACAAACATAAACCAAAATGAATATCAAAGATTTACTTAACAATGCCTCTGAGACCAGAACAAGTGGTTATATGCTTGATGATTCGTTTTTTGTTAAATGCTCAAATCGGATTGAAGACTGTATTATTGCCCAAGCCTGTGAAAAATCCAACAACAGGAACAAGGTTGCTACTACTGCCCCTATGGACTTTGACAAGTTCTTGGCTGCAGGCAATAGCAATCACAATGAAGCAGAGAGTATGGACACCAATGATGTTCAAGTCAAGTCTGTTAAGGAAATCAATGAAAACATCGACTATATATCTGGTAAGAAATAAACAACTAAAAAACATTAGTATTAAATATAATTGTATCTAACTGTAAAACCCTAAATATATCAGACAATGACTATGGATATTTGCGTGTCCGTAACCCTTACAGAGTGTACAATGCTCCAGTAGACCATGTCACTGATTATGAACATTTTGTTCCCACACACGTGTCCAACAGTCGTGCACAGGCTGTCAGTCTGGAATTGTTTTCCATGTTTTTTGAGAACAACATCTCTCATGAAGACTATGATAAATGCATAAAAATTGTCAACAAGTACATGGCAGAACTTAGATTCAGTAAGTTTATAATTAGTATACTCTTTTTATATCACATGCACTTACCACCATTTTAGCTAAAGTGGATTCACTTCTGTCATACTACAGGGTAAATACCTTGTTGAAGGAGAAGTACCCAGTGAAGTCCATTGCATACGATATGTGCATAAATGGATGCTGCTGGTTCTCAACAGTAGAAGAAGGAGACTTCATTGACAAGGATGAGACATGTCCTCATTGCGGTGAGGACAGATACAAAGTGGAGAGAGTGAGTGTAAAGCCTGCACAGACCTTTCAGATCGTGCCTCTCTTAGAGCAACTGTGGTTCAAACTCGCCCACCCTGAGGAATGGGCCAAGATGACCTATGGTACAAGGTGTTTGGCTGGCAGATGTGAAGATATATGTGAAGACATCTTCGATGGAGACGTAGTTGGACGGTTACTTGATTGTGGAGTGGTTGGTCAGGATGACATTTAGGTGTCCATGTTTGTTGACCAGTTCAACCCATTTAAAAATGCCAAAATGTCATCCTCTGTTATTTATGTTATTAATCTGAATATCTATCCTAAAGAAAGGTATTTAAAAAAAATTAATTTAGATAAAGTTACTAATACGAACTACTTAGATACAAGACAGGTAACATGATGCAGTTGGCTATCATACCAGGACCTAACCATCCAAAAGATATTGCTTCGTTTTTGGAGCTAGTTCTTGATGACCTGAGAAACTTGGGGGCAAATGACCTGCAGTTTCAGACTGATTCTGGACTGGTGATTGCCAAGGTTCATCTTGTCATGGCGACTGAAAATACTTCAGCCGTCTCTGACTTGATGAACCTGGCACATCACAATGCCCATCACGGATAAAGAGCTTGCATCTCGTATGGTGCAAGAGATTCAAGCACAACTTGTATTGTGGAAAGAGACGGACTGTCACTGTTGAGAACAGAAGAGAGTTTGCACCAGTCCATTGGAGGCGTAAGTTGTAAACTGTTAAACAAAATAAATATTGATACCGTTTTAGATGTATGGCATCAAAGGGCCCAACATCTTCAAGGACTTGCCCACAATGACCAGTACTGCTTTCTTCGGACTGGATGAGATGCACCTTCTAGGTCATGGTACAGGCCAGCAGCTCTACGTTGCACTTGGAGGAAAATTCTGCCCCACAATCAATGACAGTGGAAGAAATGCACATGGCATTCACTTGCAAGACCGGTTGAAACACCACAGATACCCATTTGCCCTGGATGTCAGTCTGGAAGATATCAACATAGCAATTTGCGCATCCAGGGCCAATATACCAGCCAATTTCACAGGAATGTGGAGATCCTTAAAGGAATTAAACGGCAAGAGGAAGACTGTTGATTGGATAGACTTCCTCTTGTTTGTTGTTCCAACAATTGTCATCAATCATTTCGTTTTTGATCGTACGAAAGCAGCAGTAATGAAAATTGTTACTGCATGCAGAATTGCCCAGCAGTGGAGGATCACTGCTGCCAATATCCAAGAAGCAGAGGAGTAAGTCAATCGGATATATGCTGATCAGTGTTTCAATCATCTTTATAGGGCCATTGGTCACTGGCATGCCTCCCTCCATTGTGAGATCAAAGAAAAGAGGCTGAAGCCTACAGTTTTTGTGATAAACCAGCATATGCTGGTTCATTTTGACTATATGATGTGGGAGATGGGCCCTCTTCAGGCATACAGTTGTAGGCCAATCAAAAGGACAATTGGTGTCTACAGCGTGGCAATCAAGTCGAGAAAGAAACCAGGAAAGAACATGGAGAATCTCTTGCTCAGAAAGGCAGAAATCAATCACTGTCTTGGTTGCCAACCTGTCATTTGTGTCACAAATGACAGAAGGACCAGCAACTTCGAAGTTGCAAGTAACGATGTTGCTGGTCCTCAACTTTGGTCCAGGCCAACTGGAAGCTCTCTGGCTGAGTTGGCTGCCGCCATTGGCATAGAGTGCCAGGACTTGATCCGCAGTTTGGTGCCTTTCTGGGCAAGAGAAGGCATTGTTTCCTTTGAGGAAAACGATGAAGTGGTTTGCGCCAACAAGATGTGGAAAGACTTGGTGGTCTATAGAGTCCGGTCCTCTGTTGACAACAGGCATGGTTGAGCAAACAATCTTGCTGTGCTCGACGATGCCAGGGAGTAAGTAGCACTAGTTGTATTCTATATTATTAAATTTTATTAATCATAACTCATTTATATTTTTGAAAGGTAGGGATTTATTCTTAAATTCTTCTCCCAAACTGTCAACAGAGTGACCAGACTCTTTGCGACCATCGACTGTCTTTCTGATGTTCAATGTGTGAACCAGGATCTTTTCCCTGCGTGGGATAGCCTGGCACCTGGTGTGGTGAAGGTGGTGGATGTGAAGTCTATCAAGGGGATTGCTGGCCTCGTCCACAACCCAAACAACGAGGCCATTTGGCACATTATCTGGTCTTCCCCAAAATACAACCAATAGGTTTTTTTTTCTTTGTTTTTTTTCCCTATTCTTTTAATACATATATAAACATTTAATTTCTTTAAAAAAAATCACCCAAAACAATAGCAAAATCTGTTGCTATTACCATTTGATTTAAAATTTTTCAGCACCAGAAAAACCAAATTTATAGTATATCTAATTGATTGGCTGTGTTCTTGACTTTAATCAAACTTGCAAACAAAAAATAACAGTCCTCTTTCTTTTCTCATTTAAAATGGCTGTCTGAGTTAAACAACCAAAAAAATTATGATTACCAGCACAGAGCTTCTAAAAAGGGTTTAAATTACTCTAAATTTAGAAAGGCTAACAGGAGTTTTAAATATGTGCAAAGATTTTGCAGATGTGCAGTTTTTTTTGGAAATCCTTGCACATTATTTTCTATAGTGCAATTCAGCAATCAATTTGCGCCAGCAGTCAGTGCAGAAGATCTAACTACAATGCAACAAAGCATTATTGAGCAGAGTTGTAAGTCATATATATTCTGTGCTTAGATGTTTATTCACTTTATTAATATTGTGATACATTTTTTGTAGCTCTTGAGCACATTGCCAAGTCTGTAAAAAGAGCCCAGCTCACAGAGTACCCTGATCAGCTCGGTAAGTGAGTAATCAATACTGGCGGCAAGTTCAAAGGAAAAAACGAAGCACAAAAATACAATCTGTTGCTTCAGATTCTTTACGAACAGGACTGGAAGGCACGCTGCAAAGAAGTTTCACAAGGGCAGCCTTTGCCCCCATCAGTCCCTCTTTCAGACTATGATTTGATAGTAAAAAGACTGTATCTCAAAACATTAGACCATATGGTAAAGCATGATATCATTGACAAAGGCTATCCTGTGGCCTCAAAAGAATGGAAGAATATCCCAGAGAAAAACAGGGAATATTATATGATACATTTGGAGAGGTTGGCAAAGAATGGTGGATTGCACATCCACCAATGTAAAAGAATGTGGTGTGCAAGAAGCCTTCTTCGGGAAAGCTTCAAGAGCGACAACCAGATGCACAAGAGAAGAATGGCAGAGAAGAACAAAATAAGTTTATCAATTAACAAAGCTATATATTGTAAACTTTAATTAACATCGTTTCCTTTTATTATGCTATAGACACAGCAAGACATAAGTGATTCTTTGCTTTCTTCTCTTGATATGTCAGAAACTGGTGATGTTGAGTCGCCCATAATGGCAGATGTGCTGTAAGTTACCATTGCTGCTTTTTCTCATGTGCTGTTAATACAAAACTAATATAAACTTCTTACTCTTTTATGTAGGTCTTCTCCACTCACAGCAAGTGTCGAGCCTGCTCACAAAAGAAGCCAAAGATCATAGTTTGGCTGCTGTGATTGGCCGAGTTTGATTTTTTTAGTCTGTCTTTAATGCATTTTTTTTCTTATCTCGCCATTTTTCTTTTTATGTTTTTTATTCCTTTTTTCTTTCATATAAACAATTTATTGACCTCTTTCATATGATTGCTAATGTTGTGATTACAAGAATTTGAAGCTAATGTACAGCATCTACAATTCTGTTACATTCAAATTTAAAAGGAAATAGTATATAGCCTTTTTTTTTGAGAAAAAAATTAATAGTAATATTTTTGTACTGATATATTATACTTGGGATTCGTTCTATTATATGTAAGTATATTGAGTAGAATAAACACTTTGAGCTTTCTAACACGATGCTCATTCCGGTTGTATGAATCAGATTCAAATTAGCTTCATGTTACATGACTTGAATCTTTGCTCAAGTTTTTCTTCTTCTATGATAATGACTTTCTATAGTGCTTATGTTTTATTGCTTTTCTTATATATAGATCTCACATATTAATACATTCTTTAATATATATATTCTTAGAGTAAATGCTTATTTTACTGAACAAGTAAGTATATTATATAAAGGTAAGCATTATAATAATATTATATCTATTTATTTATTTTAAGTTTTTTCTCTAATATTGGTATATTTGTAGAAATCAGTAAAAAATAATAAGTGCTATCTAAGATATATTAGAATACTCAAAGTATATGAAATACAATTTGAATAGTAGTGTTTTACTGCATACGTTTTGCAGTAGCTAAACAGAACCATTTTTTATTGCGAGTGGCCGATGGAATTGTTTTTTCATTATTACTATTATTATTATTTTCATTTAATAAAATATGCAATGAAATAAAGATTCAATTCAATTAAACCCAATTCAATACTGTATAATAAAAAACAGACCATTCTGTTAAAGCTTCAAAGGAAAAACAAGAGATTGTGCTAGAATTGAAAGCAATAGAACAAAAGAAAGAATGTAATAGAAGAAAGGAAGGATGCTTGATTTTTTTTTGAAAAAATGGTAACAGTGCCTGTTTTGGCTTTTTACATAATAAATAACTGTCATTTTTTACATAGTAAAAAATGGTAACAGTGCCTGTTTTGGCCTTATACAGAGTCATAACTGCCATTTTTTATTAAGTAAAAAATGGCAGTTATGTTACCAAAGTGGTAACATGTTACCATTTTCTCCGCCTTAGTGTAAAGTAGTTTGGGAGCTGTAAGTGCTGTATTTGCTTCTTTTCTTTAAGCATGAAAAATATATATATTTTGAAAAACAATTGGGATCTTAAAAAAGGCAATTCTTTTTGCCTCTCACTGTATACCAAACACATGTGCCTATTTAATCAAAGTGGGATAGACTTTATCAGATGTTGTAAGCACTAGTTATTTTTGTTAAATCTAGTCAATTATAGAGAAACCATAAAAGACAACAGTAGCTTGTAATTATATCTGATACATACTATAGAATAGTATATTTTATCAAAGAAGTATGTAATAAATAAAATAATATCTAGCCAGTAAAATTTATATATGATAAACTGTTTTTGTTATGGCAATTAATAAAATTCTTTTTTATAAAATTTTTTGATACAAATATGTTTATGACCCAAATAAAACTATGGATAAACAGAAATATATATAAATAAGAGCCAATTGTATAAATAGGGTTAGTTAAATGACCAATAAATTAAAAACATATACTTTGGATGAAGCATAATGCCTAATAAAAGTGAAGTCTAAAAATGCTCTCATATATAAGTACCAATAAAAAAACGACTATAACCTATCAAAAAGTTTATTGATATGTGAATAAAACTCTACATTCTTAAGAGAGCAGAGATACATTTTGCTCCATAAAAGTAAAAGGTCAAAACAGGGGTCTAAACGAAAAAATATCCCTAAAGTGACCCAAATAGTAACAACTTTTCTTATCATAGTGTTACTATACTTTTATATTATCCTCTTTATATTTTTCTATTCCACTTCTACTATCAATACCAGTTACATATAGTAAAATGTTTTACTTGACTTTCTTTTCTTTCCCTCAAAAAATTATTTTAACTAAACATTTTTGTTTATAAAAAGAACAACCTTTTCAATCAAAAAAAATCATCATTCTATCCTTGATCTTATTTTATTTTGTCCGTTATTAGCATTATTCTTCATTCATACACAGTGTTCTTGTTCTTTGGAGAGTTGTCTGTCGATCTTAATATATTTCGTTTCTCTGTTTTCTCTTTTCTGTTTTTCTCAAACTTTGTAGTTGTCACAATTTCCATTTTTATCTTCTCTCTATTTTTTCTACCTGTCTGTCACCAATTCTTACCTGTCAAATTATCTATTTCTTTTGATTCTTGCTGTATTCTTCTTCTTGTATTTCGTAATTTACCTTACATTTATTTGCCAAGTGATACTGTTACAATTCACAACAAACAAATATATCACGCGTCAATACTGTCACGTGTGTTGTGGGCAGGTCTGGCTGTTGGCCATGTTGTGATGTCCAGTACCAGAAGGTCAATCTGCTCGGTGGGCTTTTCCAGTGGTTTGTCGTGACGTGTCATCCTGGTTATGAGAGGCTGACGTTAATGGTTTGTTGATGTGGTGCTGTGCCATCAGTGGTAAGAGGAGAATTTTTCTATGCACAGAAAAAATTTTGTTTCCATTCCCTGTTCCTTCTACACACAATACTTTTTCCTTTTCCCTTGTTAACATATTCATTCACATTGTATTCATTCGAAATTATGGTCACCCATGCTAGTAACATTCCTCTTCTACAATGCACACAATTCATCTTGCCAATATCTCCGTGCAATATCAGTACTTTTATTATTATATTTTTACCATATCTTTATTCATATATTTTATTCTTGCCATATTGATTATTCATCATTCTATTTTTACTATCTTTATTTTTTCCAAACTTCTATTATCAATTCTAAATCTTGTCGACTATAAAAAGAGAAGCAAATTCAACTCAATAAAATTATCTAATTCAGTATCTTTTTCTTGTTTTCTTCTCTTTGTGGTTTATACTATCTTGCGACATAACATATCAGTTCTTTGGTTTTAGAAAGATTGTTTGTTGGTTTTGGTCTCCTCGTTGGTTATTACTTTTCTGTTTTGCTGTTCTCTTTTTATACATCTCTCTCTCTCTTGCTTTTAATAATGATTCTATCAGTTGTTCTCTCTTTTCTTACCTGTCAACTATTGCTGCTTGCCGCCTTTTACTGTAGTTGTCTTCTGTTCTATTTAATAATCATTGTATTTTATTTGCCAAGTGATCTGTTACAATCTATAATAAACCTAACACATTATATGTCAAATTGGAGGTTGTGCCAAGGAATTTTCTATCTATCTATTCAACATTCAACTTACTCAACACCGTGCTGTAAAAAATGCCTTCATCCCCGGTTCCCCTGTTTCTCAGAAACATAGATTAACAAATATATCTAAATATCTCTCAGCTCCCAAGATCTTTGTTAGTGGCCCGAGCAGCAAATCACTCTCCTGGATCCTGCACATGAACCGTCTGAAGAAAAGTGTTGGGATGACCAACAAGGAGACCATCTTGGTGGCTGTCACCCATTTCCGTGGCATGACGGCCAAATGGTGGGCTATACACAAGACCAAGGTTGCTACCTGGGACATGTTCTCCACTGAATTCAAAAAACAATTTGCCTCTAAGCAGATGGAGGGCGTCTGGTGGACAGAGATTGAAGAAACGCGGCAAGGTCCTGGTCAGGGTGTCAGTGAGGTGGCCCTCAACCTCTAGTAGCTCTTTGGTCTGATTGCCTTGTCCAATGAGACCCAGAAGATTCGCATTCTGCTGTGAGCTCTCTGCCCGGAGATTGCCTACCAGGTAGAGAAGACTAGTCTGCCCTGTTTCTGGGATGAGTTGGTCCATCAAGCTTTCAAGGTGGAGGCGGTTGAAGAAAAATATTGTTGGTCTGCTGCTTGCTTGGTCTCTGAGTTTGTTCCCTTCTCTGCCCAAGGCTCTGCATCCAAGAACTCCTTCGTTGAGGATGCTCTCTCCGAGCTCATTGAGGAGTTCAAGACCATAAAGATCCACTTGGTGGATATCTGTCTCTCTGCTGGCCCCAGTTTTGGTGGGTCTAGTTCTGGCTTCAGTGGTTCTGGTCCTGGTAGTCCTGGTGGTTCTGGTCTTGGTTCTCACTGGAAAAATAAGAACAATTAACATATTGTCTAGATAGTCGGATCATAGTGGATATGTCATGATTTTTTTTCATAGCAGTTGTTTTTCATCAACTTGGGATGTAGTTTTGATGTATTCTATTGACTTAAATAAAAAAAAATAAAAAATAAAAAATATATTTTGGTTTACTATAAAACCGTATCAAATCAAATATTTGTAACACTCTTGTTTCCTTTTTTATTTTATAATTCAAAATACATACACTATGTTTCCTTCTATTCAAATGTACAACACTGATTGCCACTGCACCAGATGCAATAATAATGATCAAGGAGTTTCCCAAGTATTGAGATATACTGTTCAGCGTCATAATAAAAGAGTTAGATTTGAAGGTACTGAGATATTCAAGAGTTGTATAATTTATTTAGTGCTGTTATCTGTCTACTAAGTAATAATCGCTTTTATTTTTATTTTTTATTATTTTAAAAAACATAGCTGAAAAGAGAAGCATGGGAGTAGATACTGAAAGTAAGACATTTTTTATTTGAAAAGCAGAAGAAAAACTAATAATAAACTATTATATTCCATATTTGTACTAATCCCAACATATCAATCCGATTCTGTGGAAGCAATAGATGGTCAGGCCAACTCACCTATTTTGGATACTGTCTCGATATTTGATAATGACGTCTTTGTTGGTAATAACTACAATGGTAATGAGTCTAATATGACCGATGACAATGACAGTAATGACAATAGCAAAGAAGACACTGCCAAGATTTATGTTGAAGAGTTTAACAATGAAGGTCAGTTTTAAATATATAAAAAAAAACTAAAAAAAAATATGTGTTAATTTTTTTTAAAAAAAAGACCCTTTTGCTGCTTCTGGTATGCTCGAGAATCCAGTGCACAGATTTATTGCTATTTTCACAGTATTGTTTGCATCTCGTTATGTGGTCAATAAGAGTTCTGTTGTCTTGATTGAGTTCATCAACGAGCTCTTGAAGATTTATGGACAAGATTTCTAACTTCCCAAAAGTCTGGCTGGGCTACATAAAATGACTACCTTTTTGTCTATCACCAAAGACATTAAGCAATTTGTGTCATGTCCAAACTGCCATTGCATCTATGAAGAAAACATGTCTGTACCTCCCCATTGTGTTTTCACAAATGTTGGTGCACACTCTCCTTGTGGTTGTGAGTTGATGAAAGAGGCAACTTCAAATGCACTGGTATTAAAGCAAGCATACTTGTACCAGTCCCTCAAGCAAGCTTTGTCTGTTCTTTTCCTTCGTCCTGGTTTTGAAGAGCAAATCTGTCACTGGAACACAGAGCTTAAGATTGTCAATACTATGTGCGACATATATAATAAAGCAATGTGGAAAAAGCTGAAGGATGCAAGTGGCATCTTGTTCGTTGCTTGTCCTCACTCATTGATGTTGATACTCAACATAGACTGGTTCCAGCTGTTCAATGGAGTTAGTTACTCTTCTGGTGCAATTTACTTAGTTGTAAATAATCTGGCCTGAGAGTTACAGTTCAAGCCTGAGAACACAATTCTGGTTGGTCTGATGCCTGGTCCCAAGGAGCCAAGATGCGAGGAGATAGATAACTATCTCAAGCTTATGGTAGACAAGATAAAACAGTTGTATATTGGAATGCGAGTCCCAACCTATGAGTGTCCTTCTGGTGCTAATGTCTGTACTGCCTTGCTGATGGTTGCGTGACATCTCTGCTGCTAGGAAAACAAGTGGATTTACAGCCCACAATAGTACATGTGCATGCTACAAGTATACAACCCAGTTTCTCAGATTGCCCAACACAAATCAGGTGGACTTCAGTAGATTCGATTACTCTCTTTGGATTATTTGTAGTGGTGTAGGGAACAGGTTGCATGCTGAGGAGTGGAAGAGTACAAGTACACCCTCAGAAAGGCACCAGCTGGAGGTCGAATATGGTGTTAAATGGTTGCAGTTGCAACGCCTTGGATACTTTGATCTAGTACGTGGAACGATCATTGATCCCATGCATAGTTTATTTCTGGGGACGCCAAAGAGAATGATGGACCAGTGGGTCGATAAGAAAACAATTGGAGCCAAAGAGTTTGCTACCATGGAAAAAATTGCAGAGACAATGGTCCTTCCAAGGGATTATACAAAGCTGATATCGAAGATTGGAAAAGGCTTTCCTTATATGAAAGCTGACGACTGGAAATCCTGGGTACTGGTATATTATTTTGTTTTGCTTCATAGTGTTCTACTATTTGAAATGTACAACAACTGAATGAATTTCGTCCGTGCATGCTGCTATCTTATCAAGCCAAGCATCGCATTTGATAAAGTGAAAAGCGCCCATGACTATCTGGAAATGTTTTGCAAAAAGGCTACCAAACTCTACACTCCCACCATCCTCACCTGCAACATACACCTGCACCTCCATCTTTGCGAGACCATTCGTGATTTTGGACCTGTGTATGGTTACTGGCTCTTTGGATTTGAGAGATATAATGGCCTGTTGAAGCATATCAAGACAAATGAAAAAGATAGTTTTGAGGCAACATATATGAGAAGTTTTATTCAAAACGCATTCAAGGATGACTATGTCAATGCTGTTCTGAAAAGTTCTAGCTATGTCCTCTTTTTCAACATTTTCTCAAAGCTTTCTCCGAAAGTCATACCTACCACCACAGTCATTACCCTCTCCTCCCATCCATTCCGATTGCAATCATTCTTACTTGCATTGTCCAACCCACATCTTCCTCCAAAGGGTAACGAACCTCTCCCTCCTTTGACTTTTCTTCTTCAGCTAAAAAAATCATCACTGATGGATGAAACCGACTATGCCCATCTGCTTCAGCACTATAAAACATTCTATGATCTTCCTAAACGTGTCAGTTACCAATATGTCATGCTCACAAACTCCTTTGTTGACAATGAAATCACAAAGTTGAAGTTTATTAACATACTTGGTAAACAGTACCGTGATAAAAACGGTTCAGCTGGTTGTGGTTCTCTTGTTCACATAATATTTGTTGATAGTGATGGTAGAAATACTCTAGCCTATGCTGAACAAATACAGTATCTCTTCACACACTCCTTTACACACCCTTCTAACAACAATCTCCACCTGACTCGCATGGTTCATGATCATCAACATGTATTCACATATATCAAGTGGTTTAATACTTCCTCTGATAGATCGCGTGAGGATGACGGTCTTGAGTTTTGTCTCCCCACCTTCTCCTCCAATAGTTGTCATTGCATTGTACCTGTGCACCACATTCTTTTAGAGATTGCTACAGCCAGGATTACTACAAGTAGAAATGTTAGTAAGATTCTAGTAATTGCTTTGCCAAAAAAGCTTTATACTTAAAATAAAAAAACTCCCACTTGACTTTCCTTTTCTTATACAAAAAAAAACAGAACAAATTCCCTATATATATTAATAGTATTAAGGGTGGACAATAGGAATTTTTCTCAAAAAAATTCCATTTTTTAATTTCTTCTAATCCAATAACATTGCAGAAAAAAAAGTCAAAAAGAATGAAAAAGTAGTAAAAAAATGGTTATTGTGGTAAAATAAATTAAAAACACGAGAGTCAATTTTACTTGTTATTTTATTAAATAAAAGATAACCAAAAATCTGCCAAACTGAATTGTTTGTTGATTAAATATAAAATTGTGTATCAATATGACTATCAAATATAATCTATACTAAGCCTCTTCCAGAGTAACTACGTTATAGTTATGTACTTAATTAATTGACAATTAGAATATGCATAGTGTATCACCACAGTTATCTTTAGCAAATTTTTGAAAAAAAATTATGAGATGCAATGCCTTGAACTTCTTCATCTCTTTTTGGTAAAAAAAATCTTTTTTTTAAAAAAAAACTCACAAAAAAGTGGATCCTTTTAAAAAATTCCAAATTTCTGAGTTTTATTTTTTTAACAAATACATTTACTTAAAGAAGAAGTGAATTTTTTAAAAAATTCTTATTGTCCACCCTTATTATGTATGTAAAAAGTAATATGTAGATAAAAAGAGAGAAACATTTTTTTTTATTTCGAGCCTGTCTCTAAGAGCCCACTGAGAAAAATTGGGGCTAACATTATCTGGGACTGCTGAGTTAGACCCACTAGCAGTGATTCTACAGATCCTTTGATTTGTACTTGACCCCATGGCCTGGACAGTATAAGTGTCAACAAGTGCAATGAAACAGTTGCATTGAAATATATTTGTTAATAATTCACTCAATATAATAATACACAAATACAAAAGTATTACTTTAAATTAATCTATCTCATTGCTTCTCCAGTCTGGTTGTACAATATAAATGACATGTTTTATGCCATCCTTGTCCATTTCATCGGCAGACTCTCCATCTGACATTACTGCTTTTTGGAGAGTGTTGGCACAGTCTCTGAGCATTAAAAGATCAATGGCCTCCTTATTGTCTTTGTATATCAGTACATAGTGACACTCATTCTATTAATAAGTTTTGTTAATTTGTTACTTTTAATTTTAATTTTCAACTACAAACTATATATATTAGCATAATACTCACATTATCTGCACGGGCTGCTCTTTGTGTAAGAGCATTTGTTTCTGCTATCTCATCATCAGACATTCTCTCACGACGGGTTCTACTAGTGAAGTTGGTATGCAACCTTTTTTGGAGGTCACTCCATCTCATACTAGAGGAACCAAACCTGTACTCAAGGTTAGAAAGAAGTTGCTCGGCTATCTCCCTGTTGGGAGATTTGTTGAAAGCAACATTTGTATCCCATCTGGGCTTGACGTTGTTGGCCAGGATATTTTCTGGCGTTCTCAAGCTAATCTTGGGTTTTCACATAAGGTTGTGAATATGTGCCTGATAAATAAATTATGAGAAAATGAATTGATAAAATATTTTATAATATGTTACTCATATAAACTGCATTAGATTTTTCACAGGTAGACTCATGGTTGGAGATGACAACAGGTGCAGCAATAGTGAGTTCAACTCTCACAGGAGCAGCAAGGGGAACTCTGGCCAAACTATCTATGGCACTGATGGTGTTGGTGCTGGTGGTGGCAAGAGCACCAATTCGGCCATACATGCTGGTCAGAGTTTGCTCAGCATTGCTGATCTGTTCTTTTATGGTAGACATATCCACTCTTACAGTAGAAAGTATTTCCATAAGCTGCTGATTGGTAATCTCAACAGAACGAAGGGCAATTGCACGTTTACATCTTGTGTTAGTCATTGTCTATGGAATATAATAAAATGAAAGATTATAATGATTAGTTTCAGATTATATTATTATTATTGCTATCACTCTACAATTAAATTTATTTAAGTTAAATTAAAAATAAATCGTATCAAGTTTACATATTTGAATTATTAGAACAAGTGTGTTGATTTGGGAGTATAAATGTAGTAAGTAGCAAGAGAGTAAGAGCAAGGGAAAGTATATTATATGAAAGGTATAGTTAATATATATATTCAAAATATATTTGATATATGGATCTCTATTAATACTTCTTGTAATAACTGAGATGTAAATCGGTTTTCATATTGCTTTGGGACTTGATAAAACCATTTTAGTCTTTTGTTTTAAACACACTTTTTTCTTTTTTTTTAAGATTTTTTTTTTTACTTTTTTATTTATTTTTTGTTATTTCCCTCTTTTCTCTCTCTTTTCAATTCTTGTTATATTTGCAATTTTTTCTGATAAGATTGTTTTTGGTTCAAAATACTTCTTTACAAAGAACAAAAGAATTAATTTTTTTGTCTGTCATAGGTATTCTCTCTGTTTCTCTTTCTTCACTCTTTACACTTGCAAGGTTCTCTGGTAAGGCACTTTCTTTGTTTTAAAAGAAATATATAATTCTTTATATATAACTAAAAAATAACTATATATTTTAATGTCATAGAAACTTACTCTTCATCTCATTCTGATGTGTCATCTTCAAAAAAGTCATCCAGATTAGTCAGGGTTAGTAGATATATTTTATGTCATCATTCCATACAATCATTCTGACTTTTTTCTTTCTTTAATATAGACCACATTGCCAAAAATACTCTCTACAATCAAACATGGATATTGATACGGTAATAGTTTATTTTATTTTAATCTATTTCTTTTTAATATTTATCTCATTAAATATATTTCTATTATAGATGAACATCTCTCTTACAAAAGTGACATGCCTCAAGAACCTCCATCCCGTGCTACCAGCCTGCAATGATAAGCCTTTTATTTGCTTCTATACATACAATAATACTATTTATACTATATATTAATATATATCCTCTACTAGAGACGATATTATCACTTTACATATTATATTTTGGGCTGCAAAGAAATCCTTTGCCTTTGGTATGTAAATCAATTATTCTATTATGCAATTCACAAAAATTAATTCTTTCCTATTGTTTTATAGTCAAAGAAATCATAATCTCATGCTTTACTGTAAATGTTTTATTTCTTTGTCTATTTGTACTGGGTACTTCCAATGTAAGTATTAATTAGTGTATAAAAGTTGCAGTATAAAACATGTACGCACTCCTATCACTGATGTTTTATCTATTCTCAAAGAGTACTGCTTTTACCCCTAAAAAAGTTAACAAGCACCTCATTTTATTCAGGTATTTGTTTTTTGTAGAAAATTTTTTATCTCAAATATAACAAACTGGCCAAGCAAGAAGTAGCTGGGGATATAGAATAGTTTTATTAGATTTGAAACCTAGAAACATTCTATTCTTTCCAATAAAAATAAAAGTATAAACTATTACCAACCTAATAAGAACGGGAAACAAAATAAATAAAGAATATATAACTGGTTCATAATTTTAAAGACGTATTTTTTGTTGTTGATGATTAGAGATTTTAAAGAACTGTTAGTATAGGTGGTCAGTAAAGATGGTCAGTAAAGATGAGATGTAGTACAGATAAACCATTAGAGCAATATACATGATATAATCCATCTTTGATCTTTCCTGTCCTGTGTCAAGAATACTAAGATAAATCTGTAGTTTTAAATATTTTTATTTATTTATTAAGCATAATAAGTATATCAAAAGTGCTACCAAACCTTACTTGCAGAACCCTCCATTTACATATACTGTAGTGTTTGTAAGTCTCGCACATATAGTGCTAGATGACCTTAAAATGTAGTGGGAAAAAATATCAACTATGATATATAATGTTATTCCAGTACCATTTGCCCATATATACACGTCAGTATTTTTCTACTTTTTTCCAGTGTTGGCCGCTGTTGGAAAATAAAAAAGAATAATAATAGAATATATTCTTTCTAGAATTATAAAGAATTCTGCAATGTCACTGCACTGCCAGACAACCAAAATTTTGTTAAATGCTGACTATTTTTATAACATCTCATGTCTAAAACTGACATGTGATGTGTTTGTTTGTTGTGAATTGTAATAATATCACTTGGCAAATAAATGTAATATGAATTATGAAATACAAGAAAAAAGAATACAATAAGAATAGAAAAGAATAGGTAATTTGACAGGTAAGAATTGGTGACAGACAGGTAGAAAAAATAGGGAGAAGATTAAAATGGAAATTGTGACAACAACAAATTCTGAGAAAGACAGAAAAGAGAAAACAGAGAAACAAAATATATCAAAATCGATAGACAACACTCCAAAGAACAAGGACCATGTATATGAATGAAGAATAATGATAATAACGGACAAAAATAAATAAGATTGTTGTGGTGGTTGAAGTTGAAGAAGTTTTTAAGAGGAAGAATTCAAGATTTGAAATTAGGAACGAAGATTCGTGAGAACTTGTGTAGGTTTTGTTTATTGAGAAAGATTTTGTATCAAAGTTTGACCAGGTTCCTACACTGAACTACTACTGCTATTTATATTGTTTTGGATTGGGAAAATTATATGACTGGGGTCAGGTAATCGATCCTATCTGAGCCTTAATCAGAGCAACGTGATCTTGGGATAATTAATGTATGATTAATTATATAAATGTGTGTAGTCCCAATGAAGTATTAACATCGAAAGTAAATGTGTTTATGAGTTATAATTATGCTTATAATAATTCACTGATGTATCCCATATTATGGTGATATCATCATATGAAATATAATCACTATCATGCATGCTAAACCTGTGTGTTAAATAATAAAGTAATCGGTAGACACCTTTGATTGGAATAGCTGAGGCCTTATATTATTTCCTTCAGACTTATTCTCAATTACAGCAGTAGTCAATACTCATTTACAACATTATCCTCCACCAGATTCAACAATACCTTTTGTTGATTCGGCAAAACATCTCATCTTAACTATTTATTAATTTGTCGAATTGCTCAATTTCATTTGGGTCAATTACGCTCATAATTTTTTTTTTTTTTTATACTTCAAGAGATCTGCACTGTAAACTCAGCTCCGTGGATTACGTGTTTATTTTATCAATTTTTTTGTTGCTCTTCTTTTGGACATTCTTTCTTCTCTACTCAGTGCGGTAGGAAGCTTACTTCCATTGTACTCTTCAATGCGATTCCTTTTTATTTTACCATCATGTCTTGGAATTTGAACTGTTTTCTTTAATGAGGCTGCACTCTTATTCACTAATTCCGTGGCTCTCTCATTCTCTAAACGTTCGATTTCTCTGACCTTCTTCCAATACTTTTGTATTATTGTGGGATTGGTAAAATCGTTAGCCATTTGCCATGTGTTTGCCCGTTCACCATAACCAACCCATTTTACCAGATATTCTCTTTCACCAGCAGCACCACGATGATCGCGAATGTCTTCAACTTCGTAGAGCTCATTCTCAATTGTAGATTCATCGATGGTAACCATCTTGAGTTCTGAGGGTGTGTAATTTCGGTGCAACAATTCTCCTTGCTCATCCTTTAGTTCATACGATCCTCCTTTATTTCTTCGAACCACTGTATAAGGACCTTCATAGATTGGTGCCAATTTATTTGGACGATGTGGTAATCTGACCATTACGTGTGTTCCTTTGGGGATGTCTATTAAGATGTTCTTGTGATCGTATTTCTTTTTTAACTCTTCGTTGATCCGCAAGACTCTTTCGTTTATGGCAGGGAATATTATTTTATCCATATATTCAATCTGCTTCTCCAATTCATCAATTGTTACCGTGTTTTTGGGAAGAGAGAATTTTGCTTTATCACCATACTCATCAGGTACATTAACTCTGCGAGCATACATTAGTGAAAAGGGTGCACTCAGTGTCTTTTGAGGAATATGTCTGTTTATGCATAGCTGAACAGTTGGTAAATAGTGACACCAGTCATTGCTGTTCGCTCTCATCATTTTCCGTACAGTATTCTCTGCAACTTTCACACTGGCTTCAGCAATACCATTTCCTTGTGGATGATATGCCGTTGAATATCTTCGATCAATACCAAGCTCTTTCGATAGGCTTGCCATTAAAGAATTTCTAAATTCCAACCCATTGTCACTTTGCATTACTTTGGGAAAACCATAATCTCCAAATATTTTTATCAATGCCTTAGCTATTGTTGTCGAGTTTTTGTTTGGTAATGGTCTCAAGATGATATACTTGGAACAAACATCAACTAACTAACACTAGCATATACGTGTGACCATCCTCTGATACTGGGAATTCACCGCATAAGTCAATTGCAACATGATCAAATGGTCGGAAAGCTACAACATTGGTCAATGGGTGATATCCTCTTTTGCTGATGTTGTGCTTCTGACATTCAGAGCAAGAACGAATAATCTCCTTTGCTTCTTCATATATATTAGTCCAATGTAATCCTTGAGAGTGAAGATCATTCACCATAGCTTGACTACCAAAGTGACCAAACGAATGTGCTTCTTTTAACAAGCCATTTCGCTTTTCTTCAGGAGGCGACATATAGTCGGAAGTCTCTGATACATTTTCGATGAGTTGTGTAGCAAGTACATTTAGCACTTTGTCCTTACTGTACTTTTTCTTACGAATAATAACTCTATCTTTAGATTGCAAGTGTTTTGTTCTGATTTTTCTCAATCCATCATCCTCCACCAGCTTGTAACTATCCTCTGGAGGATACAAGCGACTCAACAAGTCTGGTAGTTTATTCAACAAACCAGGAATATGGACCACCTTAAAATCAAAGTCAAGAAGTGTCTCAATCCAGCCAATTATCATGGGATTAGCAATTTTTTGTGTGTGAAGATAAGTGAGTGCTTTATGATCAGTAAAAATGGTGAACTGTCGGCCCCATAGAAATGGACGGAATTTATCAAGCGCCAAAACGACTGCATACAATTCTCTTTTGGTGGTGCTCCATCGCCGTTGGGATGGGCTCAGGGAAGTTGACACAAAACTAATATACTTATCACGCCCTTGATCGTCGCGCTGAAAAAGCAGGCAGGCTACTCCATAAAGGGAAGCATCTGTGGCCACATACATTTCACGTGACATATCTGCGTAATGAAGAATTAAATCCTGATGCAGTATGTCCTTTAATGCTTTAAAGCTTCTTGTCTGCTCATCTGTCCATAGCTCAGCTACATTGTTGGCATGACTTAATCGTGAAATAGGTTCAGCCACCTTCGAGATCATGGGAATATAGTCTCTGAAGTAATTAATCAAACCCATAAATTGCTGAATTTGTTTCGCAGTTTTAGGAATAGGCCATTTATCAACGTTTGTCAACTTTCGCTTATCAACCTTGGTGCCTGTCTCATTGACGACAAAACCAAGCAATCGCACTGAATGTTGAAACCAGACACATTTATCAGAGTTTAGAATCAACTTCGCCGATGTCAATCTATCAATCACTATTTTTACATCCTTAACATGCTGCTCAAATGTTTCGCTAGCCACAATACAATCATCAACAAAATTCTGCACACAGTCAATTTTATCAAACAAAGTTGCCATGACATGTTGAAATTGTGATGTAAGCATCTTCAAGCCAAAGCAGCCTTTAATGAAGCTATATTGTTGCCCATCTAAATGAGTGAATGTTAATTTATGAACATCTTCAGGTGCAACTTTGAAACGATGGTAGGCATTCGATAAATCCAATGTGGTGAAAAATTTCTTTCCACTCAAATTCTGGAATATCGTTTGGATTTTAGGAATTGGATAGTTGAATGTGGGAGGTAGGATCTGATTCAATAATCGCACATCTAGACAAACTCGGTGACTCACAATCTCTCCAGCTTTGTTTCTTTTAGGCACAAGCAACATAGGACTGTTGAAGGAAGTATTGGTCTTGGACTTGACAATCGTGCCTGTCTCAAGCCATTCTTTTACTTGTTTATCAAGTGTTGGTCGTAGAGCATGGGGAATAGGATATTGACGTCTATAAGCTGTGGCGCCTTCTTTTGTGGGTAATCTAATTAGAGATTCTGATAAAGGACAAGAGGACTCGACTGGGATTTTCTTATTTTCATCCAGTGAGGCCTGAATTGACTGAATAAATTCTGCTCGCTGTATTTCCGTACCAGCTGGCGAATTATCCGGTTCAAACTTTTTCTCTTTATCGATATTTAGATTCTCATACACAGCGGCATAGTCTTTAGCGTTATCTGAATGAATATATTCTCCTTCGATATCGTATGCAACATTAATCAATCCGATGTTCATTTTTGTTAAGATATCTCTTCCAAGAAGAATATCAAAATTAAATCCTGTATTAAACTCTAACACCTCGGGTGCATGCTTAAACGTAATTCCATTCACATATTTAAAATTTAAAGGATCAGTTTTTCCCAATCGCTTAGTACCACTATTCTTTGACAAGAAAGTGAAGGAACCATTTGATGAATTTATTTTATTTATATTTAAATTTTCATTCAAACATTGTAAACTAATGAAAGTGCGTGCACTGCCAGTGTCAATCATTCCAAGTAGTTTGTGGTTCTCTACAATAATAGGAGTGGTTAGATTAAATGCATCATTGGCTTTAACCCTTCTCTCAATTTTGTCAAGTAGGTACTTACAGTCGAAAGACATGTCTTCGAGTTCCAAGTCGACACTGTCTTGGATCGCCTTGAGCACTTGCTCAGACTTCTCCTTGGCAGGGACCTGCGAGACCATCAGGACTGGCTCACTGTCCTTACAGACGTGGCCACGGAAGTAGTTTTCTCCACACCGCCTGCAGGGGTTGCGCTTGGTGGGGGCAGCTACTTTGGCCTTGTTGTTGGCCAGGGTGAAGCATTTGCTCGACTCATGTGTAGTATTCTTACCATGGTGCGAGCAGAAGAAGGAACGCTCCGGCTTACTGATTCGGTGCTGCTGGTTGTTGCTGGAGTGCACCTTCTTGCGAGGATACGCCTCCATTCTCTTCTTCTCCATTCTCCTCTCAGTGTGCATGTTGGCACCAGGAATGAGCTGGGTAGCTTCGGCATACATGCGATTGTCGTCGCCAAGGATGTCTCTGCCAATCTGCGTCAACTGCTCCACAGTCCAATCTCTTTTGGTCTCGCCATTGAAGTCCAATCTGGTCATGGTGAGCCGCAAGAGTGTCTGTACTTGCCTAGTCAAGGAAGCGAGGAAGCGGTCGGCAACACGAGCATCGTTTTTGGGGAGGCCGGCATCATACACAGCCTGAAGGAACTTCTTGGAGTAATCTCCAATCGACTCAGAAGGAAGCATTACCATGGTAAATACCTCTTTTACCGAACGGGATGTCACCAAGCGCGATCCATGTCTTGCTGTAAAGCAGATCTTGGCCGCATTCCAATCTACACACTTCTTCAAATCCATCTCTACCCATCCATCGTCACTATGAGGCAAGCAGAGCGGTAAAAATCTCTTCCAAACTAGTTCAATGTCCTGAAGGGACGACTCAATAACCTTTTGGAAGGTGCGAAGGAAGTGGTCTACTGAGTGAAAGACCTCTTCATTCGGGAAGGATCTAATCACATCGTCTGCCAACTGGAACTTAGGAAGATCTCTTCTATTAAGAGTCAACCCTCCAGTGCGACTGCTCTTCTCTACAACTTTCACAGAAGGCGAAAGGTACTGACTGCATGCTATTTCTATATCTATCATTTCTTTGACGCGTCTGACCTTATTAAGGGCTAATTCAGCTGCTTGCTCATCGTTCATAGCGTGAGCAGCGCTGACAGCCTCTACATGCTGTTGAAGTTCTAGTCTAAGTTTCTCTGACAAAGACAAGACTGTTGTAGCAGCATTCGCTACCAAGGGACGAAGGGGAGAGGGAGCCACAAATTGTCCAGGGGTGGAGCTGGCAAAGGAGATGTTGTCACTCAGACTGGCGATGAGGTCCTCCTCAGTCATGACGGACATGGCATCCTCATCATGAGCAGGGATGATGGCGGCGGGGTAGTTCTCAGCAGAGGGGTTCATAGTAGTTCACGAAAAAAAATGTTGTGGTGGTTGAAGTTGAAGAAGTTTTTAAGAGGAAGAATTCAAGATTTGAAATTAGGAACGAAGATTCGTGAGAACTTGTGTAGGTTTTGTTTATTGAGAAAGATTTTGTATCAAAGTTTGACCAGGTTCCTACACTGAACTACTACTGCTATTTATATTGTTTTGGATTGGGAAAATTATATGACTGGGGTCAGGTAATCGATCCTATCTGAGCCTTAATCAGAGCAACGTGATCTTGGGATAATTAATGTATGATTAATTATATAAATGTGTGTAGTCCCAATGAAGTATTAACATCGAAAGTAAATGTGTTTATGAGTTATAATTATGCTTATAATAATTCACTGATGTATCCCATATTATGGTGATATCATCATATGAAATATAATCACTATCATGCATGCTAAACCTGTGTGTTAAATAATAAAGTAATCGGTAGACACCTTTGATTGGAATAGCTGAGGCCTTATATTATTTCCTTCAGACTTATTCTCAATTACAGCAGTAGTCAATACTCATTTACAACAAAGATCAAGAATAGAATGATAATTTTATTAATTGAAAAGATTGTTCTTTTTATAAACAAAAATGTTTGATTAAAATAATTTTTGAGGAAAAGAAAAGGAAGTCAAGTGAAAATTTTTACTATATATAACTGGTGTTGATAGTAGAAGTAGAATAGAAAATTATAGAGAGAGTAAAATAAAAATATAGTAAAAATATAATAATTGAATAAAGATAAAGTAAAAATATAGTGAGGTAGAATAGAAGTAAAGTAATAATATAATAATAGAATCTAATAAAATATAATAAAAAATAGTGTGAAATAAATGTCAGTGATAAAGAAGTGTATAAAATTAGGGGAAAGAGGTATAATGTTTTTAGTGGGTGACAGATATTTCTGAGGTGACAATGTAGATGGGTATTTTAATTTTAAGGAACGGGATTATATTAGGGGGTTTGGGTATAGGGGCATCGGGAGCAAGATTTCCCAAGACACCTGGGGGACCACTCTTGTCCCTCGAGACACGTCACTCGGTCGACGTCAACGTCCACGAGTCCGGTACCACCCGTCACAGCTCACCGCCGGACCAAACCACCAAAGGAATCCACCGTCCGGTATCCCGCACCAGAGACTAACCACAGCCACACTTGGCTACAACATTTATGATAAAATCATAAAGCGCGGATGGTTAAGTGGTATAATCTTCGCCTGCCACGCGAAGGGCCCGGGTTCGATTCCCGGTCCGCGCAATACGTTTTTTGATTATTGGGGGTACTCAGTCAGATTGATCGTGTCGGACATTATTTTGATGAATCCGAGAAATCGGGATAATTGACTGCAGCAGTTCTGTATGTCAAAGATACCTCATAGATAACGAACCGCAGTAATGTCTTGTAAAGATTAACCACAGTAACATCTTCTGAGCATCAACCGCAGTAAAAGGACTTCTCTTGTAATTAAATAGAGTATAATAGTTTACTGCGGATAATGCGCAGTATTAGTTTAGAAAACTATATAAGACAATTCAATTCCTATCAATAAAAAGGACCTTTTATCCTCTCTTCGATTTTACATATACTCTCCGATCCCCAGTGGGTTTGACCTTTTGACTTTGCTATAGTAAAAGGAAGACCATCCCAGATCAGGAACGACAATCGTGTCATGTGTCAAGTCTCGATCTGGTATTTCTTTTCTGGCACTTGTAACTAAGTCGCAGAATCAATACCACTGGGGATCATCAAGTTTATGAATAGTTTTTAGATAAGAATAAAAATGCTTTTTATTAAATATATTTCTTGACTATTTATACAAAATGATAATTGATTTCTGGCTAAAAGAATAGCTATGATAATATGTCTTAGATGCCTGTTGTCTAGTAATATCTTCTACAAGTATATTCACCATCTTAAACATCTAAAACATATATGAAAGACCAATTGGCAAAGTCAAGATCTTTTATCCTAAAAAGTCAACTCTTACTAGTTGCTTATAACTACTGATTTTGTTCACTGATATCAACTCTGACATTACCCCCCTCCTGGCTTTGTGATCGTCCACAAGCACCAACATCATCTGGTGAAGCCACAGGATCGACCGTGTCATTCGGAATCTCCAAGTCCAAGAGTCGCATAGCAGTGCGCCAGGCAGAGCAAGAGGCATTTGGGTTATACCATGTGTCTTGAGGGGCATCACCATGTGTCTTGTACAAATGGTCAATATGAACCCAGGATGTGAGAGGTTTACCTTCCATAGTTTTCAATTGATAAGTACCATAAGCCTCGTTCTTGTTCATGACTACAAATGGACCCTTGAATCGCAGTTCCAGACCAAAACATCCTTTGTGCATGAGTTTGACATGGTCACCAATCTTGAACAACACTTTCTTGATGATGGCATCACATTTTTCTTTGTCTTTATTGCTCATAACAGTCATACATAGTTCAGCAGCTTCACGGGCCCTACCGACGTTCTCCAGTTGATCAGTGGTTTTGTCAGCAACAGCACGAGGGTCCTCAGAGACGTTTTTATTGATATACGACTGTTGAGGGTCACCAGGTAGAATGGGATGGCGGCCATATGTGAGAAAAAATGGACTGTATCTGGTGGTGGCATGAGTGCGGATGCAACAGGCCCAAAGTGCAGCAGATAAGAAGTTATCCCAGCAATGTAAAGCACCATTTGTGTACTTGCGTAGCATTTGCTTAAGAGTTCCATTGAGACGCTTGCACTTGCCATTCGTTCTTGGATGGAATGCAGAGGTGAGGTGGTGGTTTGACTGAATATGGCTGAGATAAGCTGACACAAGCTTGCTAGTGAAATTTTTACTACGGTCAGTGAGGATCTCTGCTGGGCAACCTAAATGCATAACAATTTCTTCATAAATGAAATCAGCAACCATTTTGGCAGATGCAACGGGGACAGCACGGGCAATGGGCCAATTAGTGGTGTAGTCAACGGTCACAAGGATCCATTGGTTTCCTTTCAGGGTCATGGGTAGTCTACCAATGAAGTCCAAGTGCCATCTTTGGAAAGCTGTGGGTATTTTCAGTGGGTGCATCTCGTCGTGGTGCTGACCATCTTTTCTTGTATTTAATAGGCATTCTGGGCATGCGCTTAGCCATTCTTTGATATCATTGCAGAGGGTGGGCCACCAGTGGTGGGACTTTAGCAAATCAACCATAGTAGTAAACCCTGAGCGTCCGAATCCTTGGTGATACGTTTGGACCTTGTCTGCTCATTGTGCAAATGGGAGGAATGGTACTTTGCAAACGTCTCCATTGCCTATCATTACTTTGCGGAATACTTGTTGGTTCTTCACCACAAAATGATATCTATTTTTCTCTACAATAGCCTGGGCATCAATTGGGACTTGGTCTGGCTGGAAAGTGTAGTAGTTTGGCCAATCTGTGGGATGTGTCAGTAACGTGGCGTACAGGTAATCTGGCTTGATAGATTCTGTAAAACTTTGACTGTCTGGACCTCCCATGTGGGATAAGGCATCAGGTACATCATTCTCCTTGCCTGGCTTGTACTGAATATCTGGCACATATAGCTTTAATTCTGCAATCCAACAGATAAGGCGGGGTGTGGAGGTCACCTGTGAACGGAAATACTTCAATGGCAGGTGGTCGGAGAACACAGTGTAGGGTCTGCCATCAATTAAGCAACATCAGGTTCGGAGTGCATGTACTATTCCAAGTAGCTCTCATTCCTGTACTGGGTATGATCTTTCTGCCGAGGAAAACTTCTTTGACTCGTATGCTAGAGGGTGCCACAGCCCATCTTCGCCTTCTTGTAGTAATACTGCGCCTACACTGAAGTCCAAGGCATCGGTTTCTATCTGGTATGGTCTGAGCACATCTGGAGCTTGCAATACTGGGGGAGCAGTAAGCCGTTTCTTGATGAGTTCAAAACTCTCCTGGCAGTCTTTTGTCCATACAATAGGTTGTTGCTTGGCGCCAGTACCCTTGGTCAGATCCATTAATGGCAAGGCCATGCTTGCATATCCTGGGATAAATCGTCTGTAATGTTGTGCAAGACCACAGAACTGGTGTACCTCCTGTATGTTTGTGGGAACCGGCCAATCTTTAACAGCCTTCACTTTTCCAGGTGCAGGTAGAATACCTTGTGCTGTGATTTGGAATCCAACAAAAATGAGTTCTTTCTTGTTGAACTCGCACTTCTTCAAATTGGCCACAAGCTTCTCCTCTTGCAACCTTTGTAGGACATGGCATACATAACGTTAATGATCTTCTTCAGTCTTACTAAATATGAGGATGTCGTTGAGGTACACCAATGCAAACTTATCAAGGCAGTCACCCAATACTCGGTTCATCAAGCTTTGGAAAGTCGGGGGTGCATTGGTCAATTCAAAAGGGAGAACAAGGAATTCGTATTGGCCATAACGAGTGTTAAATGCAGACTTTGGGACATCACTGGGGTAGATTTTCACTTGATGATAGCCACTTTTAAGGTCAAGGCTGGTGAAATGGGCGGATCCATGGAGTCTTTCCAAGCATTCATCGATTCGTGGTAATGGGTAATTGTTGCAAACAGTTACTTTGTTAAGGGCATGGTAATCAATACACATTTACATGGCACCATCTTTTTTCTTTACGAACAGTACTGGGGCACCCCATGGTGATGCACTTGGGCAGATTAAACCGAGATCAAGAAGTTCTTTGAGTTGCTGCTTGAGCTCATTCAACTCCAAGGGGCTCATCTTGAATGGCGGTTGGCTAATTGGTCTTGCATCTTCGATGTTAATTACATGCTGTACATCACAGTCTGGCAGTACTCCAGGAAGCTCATCCTTGAATACATCTGGAAATTCCTTTGCTAGGTTATTCCATTCTGGTTTGTCGGTTGTGTGTTCTATTTTGTCTTCTTTGATAAACAGTAAGAAACTCTCAGCTTGTTGTTTCTTTATCAGTTTCCTTGCTTGCTTGTGTGACACGATGTAGTTCAAATGGTTTGTGGTGGTCTGTGCATTGTGTGGCTGTATAGTGTATTCTTTGTTATCTTTGTAAAGTTTCCAGCTGTCATTAAACCAGTTGGGAATCGGCTGAGCTTTCTGTAACCAGATTCTTTCCAAGATTAAGTCGAACTTCATTGGAAATATGTACGCTTTGATCACATTAGTGTAACCATTAAGGGATATCGGCATGTTGACCTTCTGAGTGATTGGAATCTGGTGGCCACCAGCTGTCTTAACTTGTCAATCTTCCACCTTTTCCACAATACTGGTAAGTCTTGCTATTTCTGGTGTCACATAGTTTGCGCTTGCGCCACTGTCAATTAATACTGATATGCACTTCCCCTTATATGTAGCTTCATAGAGTGGTAGGTCTGTGTTGATTGTTGAGTTGAGTTGTTCTAGATGCATCAGATCTTCATTGACAGTAGTTGGGACATCAAAATACTGGTAAGACAAAGTTTTATTATCAAATTCTTCATAGCTAACACTATTATAATCTTTACATCCCTGGTCTGAGGGTCTTGAGCCTCACGCAACTGGTCCCCTCTTAGCTCAGTTATATGGAATGACACATTATTGCGGCCTTGTGCTTTGGCATGTCCTTCATCCAGTTGGCAGATTGCGGCAATATGGTCCAGACAGAAACGTTTGAGATGGCTCACCTGGCCACACCAGAAACACTCATGGCTATCTCGGCTTCCTTATTAGTTTGGTTGCATATCAGAGCATGGAGCGGAGAATCGGCCACTACATTGTCCTGAGCATCCTCGGTAATTGGTCTGCATGGACCCCCTCCCCTCCATAGCATCAAGGTCCATGGGCGTGGGACTGTCATTGCGAGCATACTGTGGGACCAGTTCAGGGCGAGGAGCAGGGATAGGATGGTGGCCATTCTCAAATGCCAGGGCAGTGCGAGCAGCATCAGCAACATCCAGAGGTTCCCGGAAATGGACTTGACTGCGAGTTTTGGGGCACAGGCCATTGGTGAATCGGTCAAGAGCTTTATCTTCTGTCATGGATGGAATATCCATGCGGAGATTCTGGAATGTATCAATATATGTTTCAATAGAGCCAGTCTGGCGTAAGGAACGAATGCGATCATGGGCATTTTGTGTAGAATGGACGGGGCGGAAGTTATCATCGAGCAACCAAGTAAATGAATGCCAGTCCGAGGTAGTAGAGCCAGTATCTTCCAAACAACACCACCAAACGTCAGCACGATCACGTAGAAGGGTGATGGCATACGAAGTCCAACTACTGTAGTCCATGTGGTAGAGGTCGGCACAACGTTCCACAGAACGAACCCAGCTGTCAATAGCATTGGCAGAACGATCACCACAATAGAACTCAGGACGTTCTATCCAGACGGAAGAGGGTAACAACACATGGGCAGGGGCCGGGGCTGGGGTGGATGGGGCTGGAGTCTGGGTGTTATGGAGTGCCGCAGTGAATGCCGCAATCAAATTGGGCATGGACACAGCCACAGGAGCGGTTGTGGCAGAGGCAGCAGCAACAGGAACAGTAGGAGCAGCAGAGATGGGTTGGTTACTCATAGTGGGAGCAGGTAAAGAACTGGAGACAGGTACGTGGATAGTGGGATCTGTGACAGGGGGTGTAGGTACAGGGACACCCAAAAGCTTGGCAACGATTTGGCGGGCTTGATTATCCCAAAAATCTTCTCTTGCGGGGGTGGAACAGATGCGTTCTTCAACAGGAAGAAACAGAACAGTACGAGAGGCAGCAAAAGTAGTCTGTAGATTGGCAGGAAGCAAGGCCTGAACTCTTTCTTCAATCTCATACTTTTTTCTATCAGCAACGGAAAACTGGGTGCTGATCTTGGATGGGTCAGAAGAAACGGTCATTCAGCTACCAATTGTCAAGTCTCGATCTAGTATTTCTTTTCTGGCACTTGTAACTAAGTTGCAGAATCAATATCACTGGGAATCGTCAAGTTTATAAATAGTTTTTAGATTAGAATAAAGATGCTTTTTATTAAATATATTTCTTGACTATTTATACAAAATGATAATTGATTTTTGGCTAAAAGAATAGCTACGATAATATGTCTTAGATGCCTGTTGTCCAGTAATATCTTCTATAAGTATATTCACTATCTTAAACATCTAAAACATATATGAAAGACCAATCGACAAAGTCAAGATCTTTTATCCTAAAAAGTCAACTCTTACTGGTTGCTTAGAACTACCGATTTTATTCACCGATGTCAACTCTGACACATGCCCAAATTCTCGTCAACCAATCAAGATGATCACTGCAAAAACACCTTAAAATAATTGAATTCCACTTACCTGGAATTATCGATAATAGTAGCCAAAAAATTACAACCCAGGTCATTTCCTGTGTTTAGCAGCGAGAATATATTTAAAGACATATCATTGGCCTAATATATATCAGAGTCCCTGAGAGAATTTTTTCAAAATAATAAAGACAATTATAATAAGCAACGGCTGTTACACACTTCCTTTATTATTAAAAAAAATTAAGTGAAAAAATGTTTTCCATTGCCAATCCTAATGAAGTTCGTTGCAAATGCACAAGATGCAATCGCAATCCTCTTGGATACACCATGACAGATAAAAGAACTGCCAAGCGTCATGCCCAGAATGATAATGACAGGAATATGGATAAAACCATTAATGGTAAATTAAGTTATCAATTTTTCATTTATTTATATGATGTATTCTAATCCATTAGAACAAATAGTTTTGACAGCCGAAGTAAACACTGGTGAAGCTGATATGGACATAGATCAAATTGAAGAACATATTGAATGTAATAGTATTTTATTTTTTATACCCAATGCGCACTCTATTTAAACTCGGTACCAATAGATGATAATTACTCTATTGGTGCACCCTCACCAGAGCAGTATGTCAATACCCACTTACCTCTTTCAGTGGAAGAATCTCTTTTTGAAACAGAGGAGTATACCTCAGAGTATGAGTCTGAATATGAGTCGTCGGATGAATTTGAGCAAGAAGAACAGAACAGAGAGCAAGAACAGGGTAAATATTAAAAATAAACTATGATTGAAGAAAAAAGATTTGAATTAAAGAAACAAAAAATTAATATTATTTTATGATAACTTACAGAGTCTACAGAAAACCTTCCAGAGAATATTTGGCATTGAGTAATTGCGGTTTTCACTGTGATATTTATTTCTAGCTTCATTGTGGATAAAGGCGCAGTAATTTTGATTACATTCATAAATACAATCCTCGAACATTATGGAGAGGATTTCTGACTTCCCACAAGCATTCTGGGTTTGAGGAAAATGACAGGATACAATGACTTGACAAACGGCGTATCAAAATATGTAGCATGCAGTAATTGTCACACATTGTACAATTACAGCAACAACACACATACATCCTGCAATTTCAAAAGAGTTGGTAGTAAGACGCATTGTAAGAATGATCTCTACAAGTCTAGTATGAAGAACGCCATGATTCCAAAGTGCACATTTGTTTATAACTCGTTGACAACTACCTTGAAAAAAATGTTTACACGTCTTTCTTTTGAGAGTATAATCAACAGATGGAATCGTAAACCAAAAGTCAACAGTACTTTATTCGATGTATATGATGGAAAGATGTGGAACGAATTAGTGGATGAGGATGGTGTCCAGTTTGTTTCGAAGGAACGATCATTACTATTGACACTGAACATTGATTGGTTTCAACCATTTGATGGAGTAACATATTCTTGTGGTGCGATATACCTGACAATTAATAATCTGCCGAGAGAAGAGCGGAACAAGGCAGAAAATGTCATTCTTGTTGGATTGATGCCTGGACCTAAAGAAGCAAGCACCGACGAGATCAATAACTATTTGCGTCCTCTTGTTGATGAACTTATGCTATTGTATAAAGGTATCACAATTGATACATATAACTGCTCAGGTGCTCTGGTGCGTGCTGCTCTGTTGATGGTTGCATGCGACATCCCTGCTGCAAGAAAGACGTGTGGGTTTACATCTCACAACAGCACATGTGCATGCTACAAATGCAATTGTCAGTTTGCTCGTGTTGATGGGACCACTGCTGTAAACTATTTTGGGCTTAAGTTTTTGGAATGGGTAGGCCGCACAAAAGAAGAAAATCGCAGACATGCAAACCTGTGGAAGAATGCAAAGACATTGATAGAGAGAAAGCAATTGGAGATTGAGAATGGTGTTTGTTGGTCTGAGCTTCATCGACTTGTGTACTTTGAGCCAGTGCGTGCCACCATTATCGATCCCATGCACAACCTTTTTCTCGGGACTGCAAAACGAATGATGGATATTTGGATTGCAAACAATTTGCTTGATGACAAAGATTTTGTAGAGATGCAGGAAGAGGCTAATAGAATGGTACTCCCTGTAGGGTATACGACTCTGAAGATAAAGATTGGAAAGAAATTTCTGTTTATGAAGGCATATGAGTAGAAATCATAATGCCTAATATACTCTCCTGTTCTGGTCAATAGACGCCTGTGAGATGATCTGCTTGACAATTGAATCTATTTTGTCGATGCATGCAGAGAATTGACGAAGCCAAGTATCACCAAAAATGGGATCAAAAAAGCTCACGAAAGTTTGGAGGAGTTTTGTGTTGGTTGTGAAGACTTTTATAAACCAGATGTATTCACGCAAAACATGCATCTCCATCTCCATCTAAAAGAAACGATTGAGAACTTTGGGCCAATTTATGGATTTTGGCTATTTAGCTTTGAGCGCTATAATGGTGTATTGAAAGGGTTTGAGGCAAACCAGAAGAGTGGGTTCGAGAATACCTACATGAAAAGATTTCTTGAGAGTTCTTACAATGGTGACTTTTGTCAAGCGCATCTCAGAAATGTTACCAGTCCTTTACTCCTCTCTCTCTTTCTCAAGCTGTCTGGCCATAAAATCTATAATCCTGCACTTTCGCCACATACTTTGATACTGTCATACTTTCACTTGCCAACGTTCCTACAATCTGCTGAAAAGCCTTCAAAGCAAACATTTGGCAACGAACCTCTACCTCTTTCTGCTCTACCATTGTGTTTGAAGCCACCAACAACAATGAGAAAATCCGAGTATGATTGTCTGCTCGATTTCTATAAAATTGAGTATGACAACGATTCTCTTTGCAGTGCCAAGACAACAATCAGGAATTGTTGGTTTGTGAATGACCGAATCCAGAAGATTTTGTCCATCAATCTTCTTGGACAAGTTTACACAGGTGGAGAAGGCTTGGTCATGAGAGGATCGCATATACAAGTGAAATTTATTGAAAAAAGTGGAGACTCTGAGGAAAGATATGCTGGTCGTATTAAGTACTTGTTCTTGCACGATTTTACACCAAACCTCATGCACACCAACCTTTCCCCTTGTCACAACCCCCAACACGTATTTGCCTTCGTTGAGTGGTACAAAATTCCTCGCCATCAACCTAGAACCAAGCAGGGCATCGAGTTGTATGAGCCAGAATTTCTGAAGTATGACTACAACAACATTCTGCCTGTTCACCGCATCTTGTCGCCAATTGCAATTGGAAGTCATGTGTCCAGTAGTGGTGTGGCAAAAATCGTTGTTATTCCTCTGCCAAGAAAGCTGTACGCTTAATAAAATACTCTATCTTTTTTTAAAATAACAATAATAATATAAAACATAGTTCATAGACATAAAAAGAGATGTGATAAAGAGTGCAACTAAAAAGACAGAAATTTTATTATACGCGTTTTGACCATGTAGGCATTTTTGTGACCGAACCATGAGGAATTGTCTCGTGTACTAACACATGACTCCGCGACTTCAACTGTGTTGCTCTTTTTCCCAAGTCATCTCTGGCAAGCTCATCAAGAAAGTCAAACACGGTATTCAACTATAAATGTATATATACATCAGGAATCAAACAACAGAAAAACCATTTTATATAAAACATTATCTCATCACTACGCCAATCAGGACGAGATGCAACAACAGAAGTATCGGTTTCTGTCTCATCACCAGACATTGCATCTCTGTAAAAAACGCCATTATAATCCCAATTAAACTTTTCAGTGACGGCATCCTTATGCTTTGTGTACGTTCTTTTTCTCCTTTTATTAAGCTACGATATATATAATATTTTAAGTATACTTGTCAAAATTGAATTATTATAAATAGAAATGCTTACAGCAGTCTTTCTATTTCCTCTTCTGTTTGAGGTAGTGTTTGTCTGTCTGTCTTCTTCAGTAAGCTTACTAGCAGCCAAGCGATTGTAATAGCTGTTTACAATTATACCACATAGCTCTTTTGGTGGTACCATGGCTGCTACAGGTTGACAACGAATGTAAAGCATCAAATCACTTGCAAGATTCTTGTTAAACTCGTCAGACAAACCAATATTGACATCCCAAGTTGGTTTATCATCATTCTCTCTGATCAACTCCAAATCATCTGTCTTCAGATTAATATCTCTTAACCGCCCCCGAATAATACTCTATTAAAGGTATATTGATTTTTGGTTTAAAGGGAGATTGTTTTTATAATTTTAGTATTTGAGCTTACTGAGATCTTTGGGTGTCTTGAGCTGCTTATGATGTCCTGAGGATCCATATCAGAATCCAGAACGGCTTGCATGCCAGTCGATTGAGCACCCACCTGGCATTGTACTGTTCAAATAGTCAGTCTATTGGAAAACAATATAGTTTGTGTTTAATTACCTTTCAATTCACTAACATTGGAACTAACGGCTGTCATTTTGTCATTGAGTGTAGCGAGAAGACTGACTACATCATTAAACTCTGACACTGGAATTGATATATTTTCTGGTCTAGGAGCAATCATTGGATTTGACGATTCTATACGCCCAGTGTTGACTGCGTTGATCAATGGCCTAGATGTTGATCCATTGGTACGTGCGTTCTGGTTGATGTTAGTTCTTGGAGCCATTATCTGTATTTTTATATAATAAAATAATAAGTTTCTGATATATATTGCTTGATATTTCTATTTTAATAAATTTTTAAGAGAGTACTTTACACGTAAAGAATTGTAGAGTGATTGAGTGATTAAACAATTATGTTAATGATTAAGCGAGCAAGTTGAGCAAGTGTATGAGTGTGTAAATACTTCTTTATTTAAATGATCGAGGAGATCGAAATATATTATTTTGAAAAAAATTGAGCTAGAAAACAACTTCTTTAGATATATAGTAAGTAACAATTGTTTTATGAAACATATAAAGCTATAATTAGTAGACAATTTTTTTTTCAAAGTAAGAGAAACAGTCTAATAACTTTTTCAGGGTCTACAGCTTTTTCAAACACTGTTTTTTATTTTCCCACCTTTTTCTGTTTTTCTCTACTCTTTAATAATATTAATAAAAATAACACTCTTTTAATCCTACTATGTTTCACTTTAGGCACCCTTAATATATACATATGATGCAGGTGTCTTTCATTATACAAGAGGTACTTTACTATTAAATATATCATTATTTTACTAACTATAAATTACTTTAAATAGCCATTACATATATTTCTCTGATATAACCGGTGCAGACAAAAAAAACACAAAAACATATTGGTGGCATGTACGTATATATCTATATTAACATCTTCTTCCCAGTATTAAAAACAATATCTAACATCTACTTTAAATATAGCTCACCCTTGATTTACATATGGTCAGTAAAAACAAATCATTTAAAGAATATAAGGGTACATGTTATTCATTTTATTATTGTGTTGTTTTTGTTTTGTTTTGTTTTTTTATATCAGCATTTTCACTCTCCTTTTTTATAGTTGAAATGGTTCTTCACATTCTTATATGACCGGTACTCAAGGACAAGACATGTTCCTTTAGTAAATATGTATGTATATGTTTTATATTCCTTTCTTTGTAATATATACTTGAATGACGCATCGGCTCGTAGCTTTTGATAATATAAATCTGTGTTTTATTCCATTATTAACAAATTATTCTAACAGTATGTAAGTATTTTTCTACTCCCTTTAATCAAATAGCTTCAGTAAGCATATATACTCACTATCCGAGTTTATTAATTCAAAAAATTCTGAAACAAAATTTATAAGAAGTACAATATAACAGATTAGTGTATTTAATAGTATTACTATATAGAATTCTTATTATTGCCAAAAAAAAAGCTTTTTTTATCCAAAATAAAAACAAATAAAAAACCATTTTTCAAAACAAAACAATATCCAATTGAGTAACTCGTGCTTAGCATTTGCACCTATGAGAATTTTTTCTTCGATTCATTTAGCCAATAAACATTAAAGAAGTGTCCTGTTATTATGTCTGTTATTACAAAAACAAGGCCTACATCAAATTACAGGTGTAATCAGTGGTAGATAATACATTGTTCTGCATTTGGAATAGTCTATATAATTGATCCCCGAGAACAGTTGATACACAGACATTATACCTAAACTCCTGGTTTTTATTTTTGGAATAAGATAATATTCAATTATTTTTGACACTTTATTCAATAACTTGTCAACTATGATTTCCTTAATATTTATGAGTAATTCATTTTTATGTGACAAAATATCCCGATAATCAAAACCTATTATTATAATAATTCCCAATAGTTTTTGCAGTGGATGATTACACAAAATTCTCTTTTGATGTCAAGTCTCGATCTGATATTTCTTTTCTGGCACTTGTTACTAAGTTGCAGAATCAATACCACTGGGGATTGTCAAGTTTTAAGAATAGTTTTTTTGATAAGAATAAAGATGCTTTTTATAAATTATATTTCTTGACTATTTATACAAAATGATGTTTGATTTCTGGCTAAAAGAATAGCTACAATAATATGTCTTAGATGCTTGTTGTCCAGTAATATCTTCTACAAGTATATTCACCATCTTAAACATCTAAAACATATACAAGAGACCAATCGGCAAAGTCAAGATCTTTTATCCTAAAAAGTCAACTATTACTAGTTGGTTGCAATTCCCAATTTTGGACACCGATGTCAACTCTGACAACTGCAAAACCTCCAACAGAAAGAAAATGTCGTTTTCGATCTGGGTTGTTCTTCCAATGCTATAACACAGCCAAAATTGGTCAAACCCACTGGGAATCATAAACAAAGATAAAAGAATAAAAAGAGGATGGAAAGATAGATAACTTTTATTGAATGAAATAACACCCTCTTTTATATCTTTTCTAAACTTACTCAGCCATTATAAATGTCTGCTTTGATTTCTATTCTACTTTTGTTAAGCTATGTGCTTTCTAATTCTTTTGTGAGCAAAAGGAAATCACTTCGGTCATTGTTCTCAAAAGAGAATTCTGTGTAATCGTCATCTTGATTGGCTGACAAGAATTCGGGCACAACAAAAATAAGGAGCTTTCACTACGGGAAAAAACTTGGGATTTTTGAATTAGTGACTTTCTTTTTGGTCTATAATAATTAAAAATTCACCAAAAATTCAAAATGAAATAAGAAAGTCTCTGTTTTTTGAAGAAGTTGATAAAAAGCAAATTGACCACCGAAAATTAAATCTCCTGATAGACAAAAGTGCATTTTAACTACAGACTTTACATTTTTAGTAAGTGTTTATTGCAATTAATGGCTATTACAAGTCAGAAGTAAAGAGAAAGAAAATATCAAACTTTTATTACTTGAATAAAATATGTGAAGACAATTCAAAGACACGCTAAAAAATTAGAATAGGGAAGTGTTTGTCATCATTGTAAAATTACTGTATTGATATTTCATATCAAAGAGTAACCAATACATTTGTACAAAATATATGACGCTAATGATGACTTAGAAAATTTTTCTTTCTTGTTCTTTCTTTTGTTCATAACAAACCCTGATGCCGGATTTTTATTATTATCATGAATAATTAAGAAGATTCAGTAATTTATCTGCTTCAAGATATGAAAGAAACACTTAGGAATATATAAGAAATGCTTATTATTTTGCAGAAGGGCCAAAAAGCACTCTAAAAGTAACAGGCATTCTACAACTGGACATTTCTGAACTACCTAATGACATAAATGAATACACACTTGAGAAGCCCACCCAGACTATGATGTAAGAAATAATCAAGCAAAGAAAAACATATAAGCTAATGTAAAGCAATATAGTTCTTTGATGTCCTAATCTTGAGATTAATGCTTGTATTAAAACTAGAACTTTGAAACACAACTTTAAAATGATGAGTCATGTTCTTCATTTAACTCAACAAGAAAAACAAAACAACTATTAACACGTTCACGTCTTATATGTAATGAAATGGCCATCTACCTTTCTGTACAATCTTTAGAAATAAATCCAAATACAATGTCTATCTCAAGAAAACAAGGGCATAATGTGCGCCAAACATGTGTGTCTACTTAAACAAAGTTGTGTCGGCTTTACCACATGTCACAAAAACCAGATATTTGTTGCAAAAGTCTTTCAGTCATAGAAAAACTGCGTGAAGGAAAGAACTCGTAAGTTCATGTCAGGTAGGTATAATAAATTGTATACTTAATATGAAAACATGAAATTATTCAAATGATATTTAGCCAATACAATTAATGAATAAAGAATTGTCCTTTTTATAACAATTAATAAAAGTATTTTTAAATAAAAATCTTCTATGAAATGAAACTTTTTTACCTAATTAAAATTGTGAACAAATCAGAATATATATAAATGAGGGCCATTTGAGAGAATGTTTCTGTTGAAATGACCAATACCATTGAAGCATATACAATAATAAAATGTATTTTATCTAATTAAAATAATTATAAAAACTAAAATAATATTTTATTACCAATTTAAGAACTTCTTTTTTTATTCTTACTAATAGAAATCTTTTTATATTTTTTTCCTACCAATGAAAATAAGGTTATAGCAGATGGATAAATATAGCGGGATATGAATAAAACCTAATATTAATAAGTCAATGGTGATTAAAATATATTACTTAAAAGGGAACTAGAGATTCCACTGTGATTCGCAAGAATCGCCAGCTCAATCCCAAGCTGAATCTCCAGCTCAATCCCCAGTAGAATCCCTGTCGGACATTATTTTGATGAATCCGAGAAATCGGGATAATTGACTGCAGCAGTTCTGTGTGTCAAAGATACCTCATAGATAACGAACCGCAGTAATATTTTGTAAAGATTAACTACAGTAACATCTTCTGAGCATCAACCGCAGTAAAAGGACTTCTCTTGTAATTAAATAGAGTATAGTAGTTTACTGCGGATAATGTGCAGTATTAGTTTAGAAAACTATATAAGACAATTCAATTCCTATCAATAAAAAGTACCTTTTATCCTCTCTTCGATTTTACATATACTCTCCGATCCCCAGTGGGTTTGACCTTTTGACTTCGCTATAGTAAAAGGAAGACCATCCCAGATCAGGAACGACACAATTGTCACACGAATTTAATTTGACAACAATAAAAATGTGCTCGACTCTGATGGGACTCGAACCCACAACCTTTAGATTCGAAGTCTAACGCGATAATCCATTTCGCTACAGAGCCATATAACGGTAGCACGTGTGTTGTAGACAATGTCACTGTTAAACCATTTCTGGTGATAGACACTGGACGATGTGTTCCTTCAGCAGTTTGGCCTGGCAGTGAGCCATAACAGATGGTACCAGACTTGTGGACGTTGACGTCAATGGTGAGTCGACCAAGTGACGTGTCTTGAGGGACAGGAGTGGTCTCCCCAGGTTTCTTGGGAAACCTTGTTCCCAATACCCCTTATACCCAAACCCCCAATTTCATTCCGTTTCTTAAATAATTAAAATATACATCTATATTGTCACCTCAGAAACACCTGTCACCCACTAAATATTATACTTCTTTTCCCTAATTTTATACACTTCTTTATTGCTGATATTTATTTACAATACTTTTTATTACATTTTTATTAGACTTTATTATTATACTATTATTATATTTTTTACTTTACTTTACTACATTATTATTATATTATTACTTTACTTCTATTTTCACTGGAAAAATAAAAAAATACTATAGCTTTAAGTAACGAGAAAGGTAGTGGAAATTTCAGAGTTTTTTTTTCAGCTCAGCCGTTTTTTTTATTTATGTTGGGGTGTATTTTCAACATATTCTATTGGTTTAGATAGATAATAAAAAATTTATATTTTTTTGGCTTGCTATAAAATCATATCAAATAAAGTATTTGTAGTACTTGTTTCCTTTTTTATTTTATAATTCAAGCTATACACAATATTTTTCTATCTACCCAAACCCACACCTTAGACTGTCACTGCATTAAATGTCACAACAGTCATCAGAAATCTTCTTATGCTGCAAAGTGTACTGAGACTCATCGTAATAAGAGAGCTAGAGTTGAAGATACCAGAATATTTGAGAATAGTATAATATATTCAGTGTTGGTTTTTTGTTTGCTGTGTAATAATCGTTTTAATTTTTTATTTTTTATTTTTTATTTATGTTGTTTATTTTTAAACTTTTAATGAAACACAGCCGCAATGAGAAACATGGATGTAGATACTGAGGGTAAGAATTTTTTATTTAAAGACAGAAAAAAAACTAATAAACTATTATATTCCATATTTGTATTAATTCCGACCTCTCGTTCCAATTCTGTGGAAGCAATAGACAGTCAGGCCAACTTACCTTTTTTGGATACCGCCTCAATGTTTGATAATGACAGAGACAACAATGATTTTGATGACAATGTTGAAGATGAAGTCAATGAGATTGAGATTGAGGACTTCAACAGTGAAGGTCAGTGTGAGATACATAAAGAAAACTAAAAGAAAAAGAGAGTAAAAGAAAAATCAAGTTTTAATTTTTTTTTAATTTTTTACAGACCCTTTTGCTGCTTCTGATATGCCCGAAAATGAAGTCTATCAATTTATAGCCATCTTTACAGTACTGTTTGCTTCACGTTATGTTATTGATAAGGGTGCTGCTGTCTTGATTGAGTTTATCAACAATCTGCTGAGAATCTACGACCAAGATTTTCAATTACCAACCAGTCTTGCCAGTTTACAAAAAATGATAGGATTTTCTGCTATTACAAAAGGCATCTAGAAATTTGTGGTGTGCTAAGACTGTCATACAGTATATTAGGATATTGTATCTGCCACTGGAAAAATTAAAAAAATAAGGTAGTTTAAATATGGGATATAGTGTAGTATAATTTCCATATTTAAATTAGTTGATTTTTTTTCCACTTGTGCTGAAGGTAACCTTCACAGATAGTGGAATGACTAGAGTCAACTAGCGGAATTGTGGGTGGGGAGTGCCACAGGTAAGGTTTGTTAGCACTTTAGATATACTTATCTGACTTGATATATAAAAAGAAAGTTTTTTAAAACTGCGTATCTATTTTGATATTTTTTATATAGAACCATAAAGGTCAGGCACCAACATATTATAAAGATTAAAAGTAGCGTAAAGGTGACCTTTAAGCTAGTTTATTATTAAGAAGTTTAGTCATCAGCAGCAAAAAAAGACGTCTTTAAAATTATGGACCAGTAATATGTTCTTTATTTATTTGGTTCCCCATTCTTATTAGGTTGGTAATGGTTTACACTTTTATTTTTATTGGAAAGAATAAAATTGTGGTGATCCAGGCACTCGGATGTTGGATTTATCACATATAAGAACATATTCATATTGGGATAGCATAGTAGCTATCATCTTGTCAGTATAAAATATATATAAACGATTAAGTAATCAGCCCAATAATTATTACAGTTAGTACTGTAGATAATATCTTAAAGATTGTTAAGATAATTATATCATACTGCTGGGTAAACTGTGTCAGATCGATATGGAGCTAATTTAGTAGGAAGTCCTAAAGCTCTAGTATAAAAGAGAAAAGAATAGCTAAGAGCTAAAGAAGTACGATTTATGACTTGATGTCATAATTGTAACACCGACACTAGTTAAGCAGTAAATACACTCTAATAACCAAATATAGTAAAGGAAGAAAGCCTTAAGAAACTAAGACGTAATGACAAGAGCAAATTGTGTTTTCTTATAAAAAGGGACACTTTTTATTTATGAATAAAAAGAACTTATATACAGTCTCAAAGTATTTCTATACATCTCTATTATCAAATATTTTATTTTTCTATTGTTTTGTACCTGAAATACCACACCTGTGAAAGAGTTCAGAGATGAGTGGCAGAGGGAATCTGTCATCAGATAGCAGAGTGTTGATGGCTCTGAGATCTAAGCAAGGACGCTTGCCTGTGAGATTACCAAACTCATCTTTTTTAGGAGTGAATGTAAGTGGGCTGTTCCACTTAGTATTGACGGGTGCCCTTTGTATGGTGCCATTAGTAAGTCATTGGTTTATATGTTTGGCCATCAGTGGAACAAATTGTAAAGCAATAGGATATTGTCATCTATAGACTACTTGACCTGGGGGCGTTGGTAGTTGTACAATAGATTCCTTAACTATACAAAATAAAGTGATGGGTATGTCTTCATTTGCTTTAATAAAGGGTAGTAGAGCCTTCATGAATTGAGAATGTTCAGTGGGTGTACGAGCTGGTGAATTATTGGGCTTTTCTATTTCAGCTATGGGTGTAGGGGTCTGAGGTGTATTAGAACCGTACCAACTCTCTGCTAGTCCCAGTAAATGAATACCAAGGCTTGGCATTAAATCTGTACCAATACTAACATCTATATTCTCAGCGAGATCCAAAACTTCAAAAGAATGTGTAATGTGTTTGTTGTTATAAAAAACTTTTATTGGTTTTGTTACTTCTAGTCTATGAGCAATAGCGTTACTAGTGGCCAACACGATTTTCCCTTTGCAAGGAATGATTGACCACCCAAACTTGCTACAGAGCTTGGTGTTGACAGAGCTGATGGTGGCCCCGGTGTCTACCAGTGCCCATAGTTTTCCCTCTTCTAAAGAAATAGGAACGAGATAGGAGTGAGTAGATCATTTACTGAGATCTACGTGAGTGCCCATATACTTACATGGGGAGCACTGTTCAAAGTCTATGACCATGAACTGGTCGTCTTCAGAGGAGCTGGCCTCCAAGGGAGTGTTGTCGCTAGTAACAGCATGTGCAGAACAGATGGCAAAATGGGGGCAGATCTCTAAGAAGAGCCAGACACAGAACCCAAAGAACTGGAGGAGCCAGAGACAGAAGTACAGCAATGTTTGTGAGACCAAACTTCATCACACTAGCAACAAGGGGTAGAACCAACGTATTTGTTGATGTGGGGTGTTTTCTCCATCTGGTTACCTCCCTTGGTTGCCAGAGCCGTCTTGAGGATGTGGCAATCCTCAGTGTCATAATTGTTCTTGCCATGAAGTAAACACTTCTTGCTTGAGGAGCATTCACAGCTTGGTGTAGTTTCGCAGGAAAAACCAGAAGAGTGAGCAGAAGAAGGGTGAGTAGGTGTGTGTGACACCTGTGCTTAACCAAGTGTGCAGGTCCTAGGAGCAGAGTCGTTGTGTAGAGTGGCAGGGAATACCGTGTTGTAGATTAACCTAGCCAGAGAGGCCATCTTGTGGATAGTGTCCCGTTTTTCTCTGGGCATGTTTACTTGCAGGAGTGAGACTTGACGGGCCAACTCTGGCAGGAGGGTGGCAGTATAAGCTATAGTGGTTTGCATGTTGTCAGTCACCTAGGCCTCTCGCCAAACACGTTGGTATCTATTTGTGTAATTGCTTACAGACTCTATGGCTCTCATTCTCATAAGCATCAGCTCATGCGTGAGTTGTATCTGGCATTCCAGATCGTTGATGCTATAGACACAAATAAATGCATCACATGCAAAAGACCAGGGGAGCTCAGGGGAACTACAAAGGTAGTTGTCATACCAGAAGTGTTGCTCTCTTGATAGAACAATGGGCAGGAGGTGGTGCCAGTCCACGTTGAGATCCAGACTGTACAAATGGAGTACATTCTCAAATTTGTCAAGGCATTCCTCAATAGAGGAGTACACCTTCTGAGTGGTGTCCCACTTGTTTACATGCCACTGAAAGATGGGCAGTTCCCTGGGCACAACATGAGATTGACGGGTTTCTTGCTCAGCAGAAGGTAGGCTGGAACGCAGTAAATGACCATGCACTGAGATGAGAATAGTCAGGTTACCTTCCATTGTTGTAATGGTTTGCCCGATTTGATTCTTCCTTTCCTTGAGTAGATTCTGCTCAATGGCATCAGCAAGGGCAGTGGAGCAGGTAGCCACAACATTGCAGATGCGACCAATGGCTTGCAAAGAAGTGTCAGCTTGGGTGTTGGCAGAAGCATCCATTCTGCTCAAGTCGGTCTGAGCAAACAAAACCGGAGATTTGCCATTGAGGTGTTCGGAAGACATGGTGGTGTTTTTGTTATAGGGTGTAAAAGAAAAAGAGTTCACCATAAAAAAATGTTATATTTTTAGAAAAAGAAAGAAAAACAAAGTGTAGACGAGAAGTACAGTGAGACTTTGTTTATTAATGAAAAAAAGAGATCCCCTTCTATTGCTATTTGCTATGTGAGTTTATATAGACATTGCATGTGTATTTAAGATAATGATATGAGTATATCATGTGATGTCTATTTTCTCATATCATAGATAATATATTGTTAAGTTATTACCCACGCTCTTGTTTGAGTGATTAGTGATATTGACTAAGGTGTGTGATCTTGTTATTGGTATATTTTTTATTTAATGATAGTGTGAGAAATAATGTATAATTGATACTGGTTGCTTATTCAATATGTCTTTGTCTTAGTCTGTGCACTCTATTTGAATCTACAATTATATTGAATACAATACATAACTACAGAAAATGGAAAAGATTGGGAGGGAGTATGTTATAAAAAAAAAGAAAAACTACAGTTAACAATTTTGGTAAAGTAGTGTTGAGAGGAAAACGTCACATTTAGTGCCTAAGAAAAGTAAGAAAAATAAAAAAGAGAGAAACTAATTTCAGAAAAGAATAAAGGGAAGGGAAATTTGTCTTCAGAAAATTGGAGAAGAATAAAAATAAAAATGACGAGAAGTCAAATTTTTAGAATAAGAAATAAAAATAATATAAATAAAATTAAAATTAAAATATAAAATTATAATTGGGGGTTTGAGACCTTGTGACTAATTAAAAAGGTTGAAATCGACTGAAAAAGGGAAAAATACTGTGGTTGATAAAAAGTACAATGCACCGTGTCAATACCATGCATTCCTCAATGGTCTAGTGGCTAGGATCCGACGCTCTCACCGTCGTGGCCGGGGTTCAATTCCCCGTTGGGGAATTTCTTTTACATGACACTCTATTGTGTCAGACATTATTTTGATGAATCTGTCGGACATTATTTTGATGAATCCGAGAAATCGGGATAATTGACCACAGCAGTTCTGTATGTCAAAGATACCTCATAGATAACGAACCGCAGTAATGTCTTGTAAAGATTAACCACAGTAACATCTTCTGAGCATCAACCACAGTAAAAGGACTTCTCTTGTAATTAAATAGAGTATAATAGTTTACTGCGGATAATGCGCAGTATTAGTTTAGGAAACTATATAAGACAATTCAATTTCTATCAATAAAAAGCACCTTTTATCCTCTCTTCGATTTTACATATACTCTCCGATCCCCAGTGGGTTTGACCTTTTGACTTTGCTATAGTAAAAGGAAGACCA